TGAAAAATTGTTTCCTAGATTCGAAATTATATATAAATTACTGTAGAAACGAATATTATTGACGGACACCCCTGAGAACTTCTATAAACCATATACACTGAACATATTAAAATAATAAAAAACAAATAAGTTATATAGTAAACTAGGGAAATTAAGCCAAGTACCGAAATTATGGATTAGATTCAGGTATATAGAGCATGTAGATTAACAGATAGTTGCCTGTTTTTAGAGTTAATGCATAAGAGTAACTTTTAAAATCAGGTGTCATTTCCGGTTATAATAAGGTACTCTGTGACAGAAACTGTGTGATGATTGTGAATGAGCCACAGATTAGAGAGACTTTTTAAACTCTCGTTAACCAAAGAAAGCTAAGAGATTTAGGTTCTATAGCCATATATTCAGTAGCTTCATTATTTTGTTATGTTTTTAAGATAACCATATTTTAGATTTTTAGTGTATCACACCTTATAATTTTATTTATTTATTAATTTATAGTCAGGGAATGTAGGCCCATAGATACCATACCTTAAAGTCTAACATATATACAGATTATAATGTGTTTATGGAGGTGTTTGGCGAAAAATGTATGGCAATAGACTTTATGATGTCGCCTACCATCTATAATAATTGTCTGAGCACATTTGCATCTAGTGAAAATGATAATATAGTTGTGGATGTTAATACCACAGTGTAATAAAAAAAAAAATGATTTATTTTCTCGATATTTACAAAATAGATTTGTTTCTATGTTATAATATAAACAACTTCGAACAGTCTTTGGCTGAATGCACACCGAACTACACCCATAGCCATTAAAAATGATTCGTATGTTTTCCAAACCGGTAAAATTAAAAGTCCTTTTTAAAGTTAATATATTATACAAAGGTGTCCGTTGAAATCTAATGACTGTAAATTAAATTATAAATTACGCCAAGAATTACCGTGTATGTCAATATTTTTTGTGCATTTGGGCCAATTTGAGCAATCTCCTTTGGTAAGTTCCTAATAAAAAAATGAAATTAATTAAGCAATAGATTAAGAGATAAAGTATATGGTCAATGTTGTCCGTTTTGTGATAAGCACAGTCAGTTTGTAAAAACTAATTTTATCTAAACATATTATCTTATTCCTTATGCACACTTTGCATGAGATTACGGAGGTTAAAACCTTTTTTTTCATCACACCACCAGGAAAAAATATAAATTATAATGGAAAAAATTAAAACAAAAGAATAACAGGTTATGCGCACAATAAAAATTTGGTATAACGAGTATAATATAGTCATTGTGGATTTTGGTCACATATTTAAAGTAGACATATAAATATAAAAGTAACGGACACCAAGTCGGTTTACAAGGATCTTGCACAGTAGCTTGGTTACATAGATAGCAGAGTTGCTTTGACTACTCACGGTATTGTAACGTCCGTTGCGTTACAGTCTCCTTGTTTGGGTAAACTCTTTGTTCATGTAATGCCTACGGCTGGCAGTTATATTAAAAAGGTAATGTCATGATTTTTAAAGATTTGAAATTGGGAATCGTCTGTCGTTTGATAGAAGATTCCAGCAGATAGGCTTCAGGCACCAAACCTTATGTTGATAGATTAAGCTCAATTATTATATTCGCCTGATTTTTTAATAAAACAAAATATAAAATTAAAGTTATTTCAATTATTATTGCTACGCTCCCAGGGCCTACCCCTTCAGGGTAGATCGCCGCATGATGTGTATTATAGGTTAGTTCAACAAATCTCTGTTGTGATAAATAAAAATTCATTGCCAATTTTATTGTTTTTAATATTTTTGCGGAAATAGTTTTTATATAAACAGATTGGTTAAAAATCATAAACGGATAGAGAGGATGTTTGTTTTATATGATAAACAAAAAAAATGTACCTTAAAAAAATATAAACAGAAAAAAAAAACACTCGGGCCGGGTTTCAGACGGCATATATAATATTTTCTTTATATTTAAAAATCTAGCAGTTAAATGCTTAAAAAGGAATAAGACCCTTGTACTTATTAGTCGTTATGTTTTTTTTTGGGTTCCGGTGGTTATTCTCCGGAGAGTTACCAAAGAATATTTATTTGAATTAGATTATTTAGATGGTTTAGCATTTTAGCATAATGGAACATCCATTCGCTATTTGATACGAAAAACATAGGAGACTTTTATAAGTTACATTTTATTATGTAATTTACATTGGGGTAAGTTAGTATTGTATTGTTTTTTTTTGTAATAGGTCATTTGATAATTTTGGGTTAGAGATATGTAAATTTAGATAGAGTGTAGTTTTAGGAATGGAGTTTATAGTGTGAGTTATTAGCTGTTATTATATTCTTTCAGTGTGTTCACGATGGTTTTACATAGATCGATAAATGAATTTAAGCATGATTTCTTTTGCATGAGCTCGGTTATAGTATAAGGATCGATTTGATGGTATGAGCAGAGGCGGGTATGTTCCGCCCGCGTACGTGTGTAGCGGGGGCATTCCCGTATTAAGTGGTTAAGCGTTTGGATTTTGTTCGAGTCACAGTTGCATTTGTCAGTTTTGTTTTATTAGTTGTTATTGTTCAAGAAGCGTATGTAGATAATTTCTTGAACTGACTAGTGAGTCCTTCACGCGTGCGATACAAGTACGGTATGTAGCGATTAAACAGAAAACGGTTTCAAAATGATATGACACAGATAAAGTAAGCCTGCGTCCACACTCGAAATCAATGAATCCGGGTCACTTAAAGAATCCTAAAAAATCTCGCAAACTAAGAATGCTCGCCTGCCACAGGGGTCGGAAATAGAACCCCTTCTATTCCCAGTCGCGGAAAAAGGACTTTTTTATTTTATATAAACCGGAGTAATGTCAGCTTCAAATGATTTTCCAAAAAAAATAGTTTATTGCCTACGTTCCGAAAAATAGTTAGGCGATGTAAATCACTTTCAAAATTCCACTTGTATTTATTTCTATATTGACATAATGTTGTTTGTTACAATTGTCAACTCAAGTTCAAGGTATAATGTAAACGCGTCTCAGTAACCGTGAATTATAACCCAGCGATTTATTACACTTGTGATGGTTTCACAAAGTAGTGCTTTGTTAGTGGCCGCGTCGAGTGTTGCTCTTAAAAGTAAAATAGGTATGTAACCTTATTTTTTATTACAGGGTAATTATGGAAAGCCACGTCCTATCTCTTTAATCACTCCATAATCAACATTTCAAATCCTCTAATTCATATAAATCATATTTAGTCTATTTAAAATTTTCATCTTCAACTTTGAATTAAAAGACTATATTGATCGATCGATTCTGTCCTAATAATATTTCACTGTAAGTAAAGAAGATATATTTATCTTTATATAATCCTTAAATTTTGTATTTTTTTAAACTTTGTAACTGCAATAATTTGTACCTACTGGACAATTTATTGTTGTTACAATTTGTCAAGCTTAAATTGATTTTATTTCACGCAATTCTAAAATCTCATATTAATCATTACTAAGTGATCATGGGTTACACTAATATGACGTAATTCGATAATAAAATAAAAAAAAAATGACGATTTAAATATTTTCAGAAAACGTAATATTTAAAAAAAATTGCCTAAATACTAAGAATTATTGAATTAATAAAAAATAATAATAAATATTTCCAACACTCACACCAATTAGCCTAGCCCCAAAGTAAGCACCGTAAGGCTTGTGTTATGGGATACTAGGGTAACGGATACAATATATATATTGTACATACAGGTGATGATTTTTGGTAGTTTAGAAGCATGCGGGGTTTTTAATTTTAGCGAGAACCTATGAAAACTCCTTTTTGTACTTCTAAATTGAAGTTCAAATGTTTGAGTCAATCCTACTAAAAACTAAAGATCCAACTTTCAAGCCTTTTTTGAGTAACTCTAAGTAATTGCAGGAAGTTGAGTTATTTTTTTATTAAAACAACATTCAAGACAATTATGTCACAAAAAAAGGTCTGCAAAATACCTACTACGAAAAAACTTAAGAATTTTTGAAACTTCGCTGGCAGAAATCATTAAAAATCCACAAAAAAATTTAAGAAAAATCGCGGACAAGAAATAGGGTATTTTCGGATACACCCAGGTGCGAGGAATCTAAATAAAAAAAATTTGACTCACTAGTTGGACCAACCTGTATATAAGTATATTTATATAGAAATAAATATTAAACGTCCATGACTGGAATACAAATGCTCGTATTCATCACACAAACATCTGCCTGCACCGGGATTCGAACCCAGGACCTCTCGAGTCGGCGACACCATGAAACCCGGCGTATAAACCACTCGGCCACGGAGGTCGTTTACGACGCAATTATTATTTTAGTTAAAAGAAAAATGTTTTTTCTTAGTCATAATATCTCTTCGATTCCTGTGCTGCCGATGCACTCGCTATGTGTCTCTTGAAGCCTTTGAACTATTTCCAAGCTTTGGTCTTTTCCATACACACTTTTTGATTTTTTAATAATAATAAGTTTTCTGCAGTAGGATTTCGGCAAAATTTGGATAGGGCAAGAAGACGTTCCTCGTTGTTTATTTTTTATAGACGAATTTTTATGGTGTCCATTGAAGTCACCGACTATTAACGATTGTTTATTTATATTACAAAAAAGATGGTCCCAGTCTCGTTTAATACTGTGCATGAATGACGCACAATATACTGAAATTAAGTTTTTTATTTGGCCACAGTTGTAATCTTTTACACCTACAGTTTCGATACCTGGATTTGAGCAATCTATTTTTAGTGGTGCCGTTTTGACAGAATTGCCTACTAAGAAGTGACGCCGCCATAAGGGACGTTCCTATCTTGCCGATAAATATTGTAACTATGTACTACCTATTTACCTTAATCTGAGTATCTCGTATTAGAAAAGTTATTTATTCACTAAGGGCAGCAATGTGGATTTTTTCTTGTGATAGGAATTGTCCTAGTGTGACAAGATTTGGTTTTAGGCTTTGGGCATTCCATTGGATTATGTTCAGCTTAACATTGTTTTTCTTTATACTATCCATTTTTACAAAAGTCAAAAAATATCTGCCAAGTTGGCCGGTAAAATCTGGTATAAAGTCTGCAATAAGTAAGATGATCCACTCTACGCAGTATTTGATTGTCATTTTTGGTTCTTCTTGTATATATGCTCCTCTTAAAAATAGCACATCTATCAGCCCCTTCCTTTGAAAAATACTTTGTTTTCTGTAGATTTTTCTTGAAACGGTTTATTTGTATCTCTTGAATCTAGTTATAGGTTAGTTATAGTTATAGGCTATTAGTTTCGACTTCTTCGGACCAAAAATATGGTGAACTCTGCCTACGTTGTTTTCTGTCTTGAGAAGCGAGGTGGCTGCTGTTTCTTTGTTCCGTGTATAATGGCTTTTGTTTTCACTATTTAAGCGTATGGTAATAAGTCGGTTTGTGGTGATTTAGCAGGTTGTTGGTGAGTGGTCAGTGAATAATATATATTGGTATCCGTCACTTGTTGTTCTGGTTCATCGAAGAGTCCAATATCGGAGTTGTGTGATGGTACATAAATTTCCAGAATTTTTCTGTAAGTACAATTAAATTCCGCCATTTTATCTCTCAGATTTTTTTCTTTTAAGAAGGCTGGACAGGTTTTTGCAAGCGCCATGTATTTTTCATTACAATTCACACATTTGAATGATTTTGTTTGGCAATTCGTATGGGGACCAATACATTTGGGGCAGATTATTTTGTTAGATTGACATCTTTTAGTGATATGTCACAATTTCCAGCATTTTGTGCAGTACGAAACAGGGTAGACAAAGGGGTCAAATTTTAGTCGTAGACCGTCTACCATAACGTATCCCGGGAACGATGATCATCACGGGAAATATTTTTTTATATTATTTCTTCTGGCATATCCATATCTTTGTTTTTTATAACCCCGAAGGACATTGATGTCTTCATTGCGCTATTAGTTCTCCAACCCCGTTCTTTTATTTGATTTTTTTTTCTAATTTGATGGCACTAATTTCGTTGTAAAAGTCTATTTCGACTTTGATTGGAGTCACATACTTAACCCGTTCAATGACGATAAGTTCAAGAATTTAAAACTAATCCAAACATTTTTGGTATTTTTTCGTTACTCGAAATGTATAAGTATTTTAATTTTTTTTGGTCTTTGATTTCATATTTTTCTCATTTTTTTAATCAGTGTCCACTCATTTTCATCTTCTTCTCTTCCTCGTTTTATAGGTCTAAATATTCCCTTTATGTATATGTTATCGTTTATAGATTGGTCTTCGTTTTGCGTTTCCATCGTAAATAAATATTGTGGTTAATAATTACCTAGTCACCCATTACCTATTGAAAAAATTTGATCCACTCTTAAATCTAATGGGTCCCAAACCTTTAAAGGGGCTTTGTTCCTTACTTAACAGAATTATAGACTACTGGACTTATTTTTTCAGTTTTTATTTGAAGTAATTTAATAAAGTGATTTTTAAATTTACCTTTTTTAAAACCCTTATAGAACAAATTTTTTGAATAGGAAATAATTGAATGATCCTAAAGTTAGGTTAGGTTCTATTTTTTTTTTGGTGATCAATTAGTATTTTTTGAATATCATTTAAATATCTTTGTAAAAAAGATTTTCCGCACCACAAGCTCATTCCAATTTGCACAACTATATCTTCAAAATTGTAAAAGTTACATGCAAACTTCTAGGATTATTGTTAGGGTATGAATTTTCAAAAAATCCTTGTCACTTACATCTGTTTAAAAACTTGTATGCGAAATCGGTTTAATCGGTTCTACGTTGATTCATTAGTCCGTTTCTGTTTTTTTAATGACAAAAGGATAATTTTAATAACTTAGGTTTTACGCGTGTAAGTGTATAATTTTAATACACTTATACGCGTTATCCCAAATAACATCTTTCTAGTCTCTAAGCTAAGCTGCGGATGGACGGACGGACATGATGAAACCCTGCGAGATGTGGCTGTAAGAGCTACAATGGGCAGCAGAATGCATACCATGGCAATTTTTTTCAGATCTATTTTTTTATTTAATTTACTAAGTCTAGGAGGAAATAGCAAGTGGTCGGGGATTTTAAAATACGCCCCTGAGTTGACTACTCATTTAATGTAAACCTCATATCAGTCAGCATGATTGTGACGAAGAATTCCAGAACCCTTTATTGCATCTTGCGCAATACGCACAAGGCCGGGATTTTTTTTATTATTTACTACTTACAATTAATTAAACTCTATCTATGCAAAAAAAAAACAACCCACACTACTTATCAATGATTACCTCTTTATAAATGCAAAGAAAAAAATTGTAGCAATAAAAAGCTTCATCATCATCAGTCTTTTAATTACCGCACGCTGGGGCAAAGGCTGGCAAAATGGATGGGCCATGATCCACCAAGTGGACCCAGTACGGATTGGTGGATGCTAATGTCTGCAGATGCAGGCGGGAACAACGGCTTAACGTGCCTTTCGAAACAAGGAGGAGCTCGAGATATTTAATTTTTGATCACATTCACTATCGCAAACTGAACGCGTAAACTACCTGCGCCATAGAACTTCTTCGAGTTAAGTGCTTAAAATAAAGAAAATAATAATAATTATTATAATAAATGTTTATTTCAGGGACAATAACTCATATTAAAAATTACAATTGCAATTTGTCCCATTTTATCTTAAAATTAAATCATTTTATCACAACTCTTCAATTATTCTTACTAAATTCAAACAATAATAATAAAAATTATAAATAAAAATAAATAAAATATAATCATTACTGAATTTTAAATAATAATAAACAATCAAAACTAAATCATATAGTTTTACACATTATATTAAATGAAATAAATAAATTAATATACATTATTAAAATTTTGTATTGCACTTTGCAAACATTGGCGATATGCAGATAACAGAGTGTGTATTATATGGACTTTACCAAGTTGATAAATATTTGCCGAAGAACCGATAACCGTTGGGGTAGACGAGTTCTGGAGTGGAGACCGCGTCTAGGCAAACGTAGTGTAGGACGTCCTCAGGCACGATGGAGTGACGATTTGCGCAAGGTGGCTGGCAGGAGCTGGATCCGAGTAGCCCAAGATCGATCTGAGTGGCGTGCATTTGGAGAGGCCTATGTCCAGCAGTGGACTATGATAGGCTGTTGATGATGATTGATGACCAAGTTGATATATGTTATTGTTGAGTATATAAATAGTATACAAATAATAAAACACCTTTTTGGTTTATCGCTGCAGGATGTTCGTGACAGTCTTATTGGCGCTCGGCTTGGCAGCGTCGTTGTGGCTGCGCTGGCGACACCAACACAGAGGCCTTCTCAAGGCAGCTCAGCAGTTTCCTGGTCCGAAGACGCTACCAGGCCTTGGGAATGCTATGACGTTCATTTGCACACCTGAAGGTAATGAATATTTATTCATTTCTCAAGAAAATTTTATTATATTCGGATTTGGCTATTCGGATGGATGCACTCAATACCTGATTTTTTTACGAATATTTTTTTTATTTGAACATACAGAGGTAAAATTCTTTAATTGAAAATTTTTATTTCCTCTATATTAAAGGTTGAAATCAAAGTTTCAAATCAATTGCAGAATTTGACTTGTTTTTGTGACGTCCAACCTAGAGACGCAACAATTATTCTACTCTACCTAATGTTGAGAGCTCTGGCAGACTGTAAACTTTTGATGGGCAAATAAATAAGTGGAGCTCCTGAGTAGTTTGCTTGTGCACAATGATTCAGTATAGGTCGACAATGCAAAATAATATCAACTAGCGGCGCAAAATCTGCAAAAATTTTGAAGACTCTAGTTGCAATGAAGATAAATGATATGCACCAGCCACCCTGATATCTGGCAAACTCGTTACGTCTCCCTGAACCACTGAGCGTAGCGTGAACAGGGCATCTGAAGATTCCTCCTTTTCCATTTCATCGAACCATGGGACTGGAAAGGTTTGACTATTTGACACTCTTGTGCAGTACAATAATGCTTTTAGAGCGATGCTTAAACTGCCGTGGCGGTGTAGTGCGTCGGGCATGTTATCGGAGAATAGGGTTGATGATTTCTATGCTGTAATAAGAAAAAGAGCCGCTTCCTTTTATAGATCGCATTAGAAAATATAGTAATTTAATATTTATTAGCGCTGTGTATGACTGCTGTAAATATGACATTTGTGATATTTGACATTCTTAATAATATAATAATAATAATAACTAGCAAACCAGTGAACCAAATGTTCATCAAAAAAAAAATTAATTAATTGAGAACTTCGGAGATTTTGTGTGGTTTCGTTTGAAATAGAAATCACGTGATTTCTCGAAAACCGGAAGTGCTACGTTACTCAAATCCGGTTTGTAGTCTTATCAGACTATTCTTAACTTATAACTTAAACATTCTCTTTATCTATCTCTTACGGTTTGGCCGCTGAAACAGCACCACGGACGGACGGACGGACGGACTTGTCTTATAGATAATAGATCATTTCTTCACAACCCTCAACATTTTACATTTAAAGTATATGCTAAAAATGTCTACGGGTATTTATATAAAAGTCTGAAGAAATGGACCCCTAACCCAAAAAACTAGTAAAAACTGTAATTATCGTGGGTTAGTGATTCCTCGGTCGACATATTGCAAAAATATTTTAATTTTAGTGCAGCCCAATAGGTTTGATTACAGCTGTTGAGGTGAGTAATCAACTAACGAAACAAAGCAATTTATCAAATTCTTGCCTGCTAGAAATCGATTTTATTTAATTTAATTTGACTTAATTTTAATTTGCTTTTGATTTCATTTTATTTTATTTTATTGATAATTGATTTATGATTTAATTTAAATGAATTGTAATTATGATTTTATTTATTTTTTAAGCATTTAACTGCTAGATGTTTAAATCTAAAGAAAAGTTTACTAGAAAAAAAATTGCTAATAGGGCTGTGGTAGCATAATGGTCAGTGCATTCGCCCGGATAGCGAAGGATGCGGGTTCGAGTCCCGTCCGCTGCCTGGTCCGTGTGGATTTTTTTCTAGTAAACTTTTCTTTAGATTTAAACATCTAGCAGTTAAATCCTTAAAAAAAAAATCATAACTATAATTGCTATTTCTTCTTTCAAATGTTTAATACTTGAAAAAGTATTCATTTGACATTGTGGGTTACCTACAATGCGAAGAGATGGCGCTGCCTTGCAGCTTAAGGCTAGGAAAATTTCGACGCGGCTAATAGGGCCGTGGTAGCATAATGGTCAGTGCATTCGCCCGAATAGCGAAGGATGCGGGTTCGAGTCCCGTCCGCTGCCTGGTCCGCGTGGATTTTTTTCTAGAAAACTTTTCTTTAGATTTAAACATCTAGCAGTTAAATGCTTAAAAAATAAATAAAATCATAACTATAATTGCTATTTCTTCTTTCAAATGTTTAATACTTCAAAAATTATTCATTTGACATTGTGGGTTACCTACAATGCGAAGAGATGGCGCTGCCTTGCAGCTTAAGGCTAGGAAAATTTCGACGCGGCTAATAGGGCCGTGGTAGCATAATGGTCAGTGCATTCCCCCGGATAGCGAAAGATGCGGGTTCGAGTCCCGTCCGCTGCCTGGTCCGCGTGAATTGTAATTATTTGTAATTAATCTATTTTATTATTATTAATTTGATTATTAATTGTTTTTCTATTTTTATATGTAATATGGGTACTATGCCTGAAATAAATGTTTATTATTATTATAGAGGACATTCATATCTACAAAAAGACTGCCATGCATATGTCTTACTATTATAGTTATGTCACAATAACTACTTTTCATGTTAAAATATGCAATACTATCGGCCGTCCGCGACTTCGTCTGCGTTAACTTCAGTTTTGTGAGAATCCCCCTGAAACCTATTTTTTTCAGGATGAAAAATTTCTACCGACTGGACTAGATTTATGTATGTATATGTATATATTAATTAATTACATTGAAATTTACGCCGCCGTCTCTCCCACTTCCTTCTAATCCTCTCCATCCAAAGGCTGTCTGGAAGTGATCGCTTTTAGAGATAAGGCCGCCTATTGTAACACTTAACTTAAATTGCTCTGTATTTATTGTAATGTTTTCTGTGGTGTTCAATAAAGTGTTTTGTATTGTATTGTAAAAGTATTCTATGTCTCAATCCAGATCATGAACTATATACGTACCAAATTTCATTAAAACCGTTCAGTAGTTTTTGCGTGATTGAGTAACAAATATACAAACTTGCAAATACTAATATACATATGAATAGTAGGAATTAATTAGAAGAAAGAGTAACGCCGGCCTACAAACTAGGCCACATTATTCGTATCTGGGTATCACAGGAACACAACACCACCATAAGGTAGTGTTGTTTTACTGTGGTCTTGTGTTAAGTGAAGGTACCCCAGCCGGGTGCTTCTATACGAAAGGAAATTCCGCTATCATTTTTAACTCTTTTTCGACATTTTATTCTTTATTTTTATCAACAGAACGGTTATTAACAATTTTCCGTTAATAATCTAGTTGGACAACATGGATTTCTCGTGTAATTAAAGTAATGAAAATTCTATTCTTAGTTACGTGATTGTATAATTAATATGTAATTATGTACTTATTTCCTTAGAGCGAATTATGGTATTATAACATATCAATGATTATCTTAAATTACACATGACTTGACGTGATTATATATTTACACATAAAATAATTATGATGTGGATTTAATCATTATTGGTGATATAATTCTTTAATAAAAATGAGCTAGTATTCAAATGATGCTATGACTAATCAACAATTACTTATATATTTTTTTATTTATAGATATATATCGTTTTCTTATAAACGTTATTTGCCAAATAATGCAGATTTCGAACCAAATCTAAAATGTTTGTATGATGACCTAGATAGTATCTCAGCCCTCTCCGGCGCCGACGGCTAGTGAGGCTAACGGACGATGGACGGGTCCGTCGTGCGCATTTCACAGTCTCACCCGTCGAGGGAGAGGGCGGCATGCCTAGGTGCTTCCGGGCATCCCCCTGACCGCCAGGAGGAGGAATAACCCCTGCCGGGGTAACGTGGAGAGTCACCAGGATCCCACGAAACCTGTTTCAGCAGGCGAGGAAGCACTGTTGGGTTTTTGTGGGTAGGGCCCCCTCTCATCGCGAGCAGCCGCTGAGTCAGTTTGGCTGAGCGGGTAGGCGGGATTTGGGGGGAGGATCCCTCATAACTCCGTCTCTCACCTAGGGGCGGGGTATGAGTCACGCATTTTCCCAACAATAACAAAAAAAAGGTAGGGTGGTATGTACACCGACTGTCAGTAGTAGGGGCGCCCCAGCGAGGATTTTTGGATTTACTTGAGCACGGCAGAATAACACAATTAAACAATCTTGGACCTTGTGAAGTACTCTTACTATGCCTGAGCTCTCTATGTAGAGCCGAATGTCTAGGGCAGCAAAAATAAATTCATCAATCGGCCATGTCTTTTGGTTGCGTTCAAACCAACCAACACGTAAGGTGAACAATTCCGTTATCTATGATTTTTGTGTAACTTTTACCGTTAACGCAGCGCCCGGAAGCCCGCAAATGGATTTTTTCCCCGTTGTTGCAACATTTTTCATTGGAGCTCCACTCCTTTTATTCGCGGCATTATGTTATATAGCCAATAGCCTTCCTCGATTTATGCACTATCCAACACAATAAAAAATATTCAAAAAGGATCAGTAGTTATTGGGACTATAGCGCGTTCAACCAAACAAACAAACTCGTCAGCTTTATAGTATTACTAGGTGCTCTGCTGTTTCACCCGTATTAATTTAAGGGAAAAGGTTAAAGAGACATATTTTGCTATCGCAAACTTTTAGAACTTTTAAAAGGAAACAATTTCGTCATACATGGTTTCTGTGCACCTTTTATCGTTTACGCAACGGAAGCTCAAATGGTATATTTTTTCCCGTTTTTGCATCATTTTTCATTGGTATTCCGCTCCTATTGGTTGAATAGCTTATTAACTTTTTCTTATTCACGATAAATGCACTATCCAACATAAAAATATTTTTTCAAACCGGGCCATTAATTCTTTATATTAGCGCGTCCAAACAAACAAACATACTCTTCAGCTTTATAATATTAGTATAGAAGTATAGATTAGTGTGGATATGCGCATGTAGGCATCTGGTTCCTACCCTATCTAATTATGGCTGTTTAAATACATATTTTATGTGCTTTCATCCGTTACTAACACAGGCTTTAAAGTGTACGTGAGTGTACGAAATATTTATGACGGGCAACTCCTTGATCAGCGTTTTGTTTTGTCTTAGTATTATTTTTCTACTTCTCATAATGAAATCCAATATTTTAAGCTTTTGTTAATTATGTGGTCAAGTAGTGTAGTCTACGCAGACTAAGAATTTTGTCAGTGGAAGATAAAAGTCCCTGAATCATTATACAATGACCACCAAGAACAGACTCAACGTAGACGACGAGCGAACATATTTTGTTGCCCAGAAATTAAGAGAAACGCAAGCATTGGAAGAACATATTCTAAGATTACGTTGCGTTGTAATTAAAATTAAGTTAAAGATAAGACGTTATAGAGGAGAGTTTTTGGTCCGTCCCTTTATTTCGGATCGAGCGCACAACGCAGGCATTGCTGCGCCAGAGTTCTATTTTAAGGGTAAACCCCCGTGTTTTTGTCCAGTCCGGTTTTTCGGTGTCCTCGGTTGTTCGGGGGACTTTTTGTACGTGCGTCGTTAACGTTACTTGATGATGTTGTTAGTAAATAGATAATTTTATTGGACAAAAGTCTCTCGTCTGCGCTAGCCATAAAACGTCAATCATATTAATTGCATGTTAAACATGTACGAGTGCGCAGCTTAGCACCAGTTTAATCAGAACGTCAGCTTGAACTTATTCCAGCTATGGTTTCCGCAGTGACCCGGACAGTGTGATCAGTGGTTTATCAGTAATTGACATAATCATTGGCAACACGAGTTACCTTCGCTTCTACGTCATTTTATCGTAGTCAGTTAGGCGCCTTCCTCACCGCGTCGGTGCGGTCGCGTTTCATTTTCTACCAATTATTATAACAATTTTTTACCGAGTAAATGTTATTCAATGAGAGCATCCTCACTGAGAAGTTTCGGTACAGATTCATCACTGTGCGGATACACAATTCTGTACAGAGTGCTACCGAACAAATTTGACTAGCCCACCCGTCCCGTCACTTCCACGAAAAAAATTTTCAAATTTTTTTTTTACGAAAACAAGGAAAACGAAACAATACTGCATCAAAACAGAACCAGGTAAAAGTGGTGTTCGGTAAAGATCTGTACAGATTCGGTACAAAAACGAAACGAGCCTGTACCGACCCAGTGAGGAAGACGCCACAGCACATCTCTACTTCGCGACGTTCGTCTTCGTCAAATGGTGAGTAACGCGGCACGGTGTGGGTTGACATATCGTGCAAATTTACTTTACCGTAAGTATCGTAAAAATTAACATGACGACGCCGCAAGCACCGCGAAAGCGCACTGTTCCTCGTTGACGACGCGACGTCGTGACGTGGAGATGTGAACAGGCCCTTAGTCGACACAAGCTGTTTGTGTGATAATTGTTCCGCATGCATGTAAACTGATTCAAATAATAAGCAGTATAATTACCTAGTCTTACCGTAAATATTGTTATAAGGAAAATATTTTTTTTTCTATAATATTAGTAAATCATTTATTATTGTTATGTGTTACTGTATACATTAATATAATATAAAAATATATGGAGCTCCTTCAAAATAATCTCCATTGGCTTGAATACAGTCCTTTAAACGTTGAGGCCAGTTATCAATAGAAACTACTACACTCTCCATGGTAATATTCTTCATTGCCAATATTATGGATTGTTTTAGGGTCTCCAAATTAGAACATGTAATACACTCTAAAAATGACCATAAATCATAATCCAGTGGATTAAGAGCGGGACGAGGAACTCGATGGCGCAAGTGGTTAGCGCGTTCGGCTGCGATCGTTGAATCTAAGCAACTTTCGCAGTGGTTGGTCATTGGATCATCATTATCATCATCGACACATGCTCGTCCACTGCTGGACATAGGTCTCCTCTAATGCACGCCACTGCTCCCGATTTTCTGCCACTCTCATCCAACCCACGCCAGCCAGCCTACGAATGTCATCATCCCATCTTGTCTCAGGGCGTCCCGCACTACGTTTACCGAGTCGCGGTCTCCACTCAAAAACTTTACGGCTCCATCCGCAGTCAGTTCTGCGGCTAATGTGACGAGCCCACTGCCACTTCAGTTTGCTAATTCGGTGGGCTATGTCGGTCACTCTGGTTCTCTGTCGGATTACATCATTTCTGATGCGGTCCTTCAGGGATACTTCGAGCATAGCCCTTTCCATAGCTCTCTGAGCAACTTTAAACTGGTGGACCAGTCCAGCCGTGAGTGTCCACGTCTCGGCGCCGTATGTCATAACTGGGAGGACGCACTGGTCGAAGACTTTCGACTTGAGATATTGAGGGATGGGTGACGAGAAGACTTGGATTTTGGTCATTCGATGGGTGACCAAAACTTAACTATCTCGAGCTCCTCCGTGTTCGGAAAGCACGAGTCGGCGACACCATGAAACCCGTCGTACAAACCACTCGGCCACGGAGGTCGTCGAATTTGTATACTATTTATATACTTAACAATAACATATATCAACTTGGTAAAGTCCATATAATAATACACATTCTGTTATCTGCATATCGCCAATGTTTGCAAAGTGCAATGCATTTTAATAAATGTATATTAATTTATTTATTTCATTTAATGTAATGTGTAAAACTATATGATTTAGTTTTGATTGTGTTTTATTATTTAAAATTCAGTAATGAGTATATTTTATTTATTTTTATTAATATTTTTTATTATTATTGTTTGAATTTAGTAATAATAATTGACGAGTTGTGATACAATGATTTAATTTTAAGATAAAATGAGACATATTGCATTGTAAGTGCCTGCAATAAACATTTATTATTATAATTATTATTATTTTCTTTATATTAAGCACTTAACTAGAAGAAGTTAAATGGCGCAGGTGGTTTACGAGTTGAGTTTACGATAGTAAAGGTTTCGATGGGTGATCAAAAACTTAATATCTCGAGCTCCTCCATGCTTCGGAAGGCACGTTAAGCCATTGGTCCCGGTTGCATCTGCGGTCGTTAGCACCCACCAATCCGCACTGGGCCAGCGTGGTGGGGGGTTTTTTTTTATATAACTGAGGATTTCCCTAGTAAAATAGTACGCAATAGATGTAAACTGATTAACAAAAAGAAAACTGGGTTTGAATGTTAATGGTGTCGGGCGAGTGATCTGGGTTAACAGCCCAATATCCATACCATTCATAGGGAAAGCCTGTACCCTAACCTGATGAAGATCGGGACAAGATGACAGCCAATCTTTAACTCTGAGGTAGTCCGAAACATCATTATTTTTCAATCAGTTCCAACACTCATTTGTTGTGTCTAAGAGTTCTTTTATTCCCTTCGCTGTTTCAGAATATAAATTTAATACTGGCTATTTCAGAATATAACTGTGGTGTAATGTAGCCCATGCCATTTAATAATTCACCTCTGTGATTTGAATGTGCTTTAGAAAAAGCTCAGGTTCACCACTCAAACTGCTTTTCAAATAATGTAACTTTTGTAAGTTACTTATTGTCTTATTGTTATGAATTAATGATACATTTAAATCTTTGAAAGTAACCCATTCATTATAATCTCCTTTGAAATTGGGTATATTAATCTTACGCAATTTCACTTCCTGAGTATTCTTATCCAATGGACTTTGCTGATCATTCTTCACATTTTGACACTTCATACTATCTAGCATCTCAGTCATATCTGACTTACATATATAAGATACTCGACTTCACATGTAGAATAAAAGTCATTTTCAAAGTACTGATGTTTCTTTCTTAGCTCAGATGTAGATTATTTAACAATATCTCGATGTGTTTTACAAAAAATCTGGCAATGTTTATCCATTCTACTTTAATATATAATAACTTTGTAAATTTTTGTCAATCTAGGTTATGGTTCAATTACCTACCTTGATACTATTTTTGCAGTATTGTTAATAGGAAGGTTTTTATCCTTGATTGTCTTCCTCGCGAGGATTCTTTGCACTGATCACCTCAGAATCTTCGCCAAACGAACCTGGGCAATCCTTTGCCGAAAATTGTGAGGCTACAAATTACTGTACATCTTCATTCATCTTTACCGGAGGCTGATTCTTCGGATATTGACACATGTCCTTGTTATTCTTTCCATCGCCCACGTTTGTTTTATTTTTATTGGTTATGAGTTATTTTATTTCTTTGTTAGGTTTTGTGTTAATTTGAGATATGGCGCAGTAGTTACTGCTTTCGTATCGGTAGAAGTTTTCGCATAAGATGGATGATCAAAATTTTGTTAACCTGGCCTACTCCGTGCTTCAAAAGTTCATTAAACCATTAGTTTTGACTACATCTGAAGTCTTTAGCACCAAAAAATTAGGCCGCTTTGTTATCAATAGATATATTTGACTATACTCAAAATACTAGTGAAAACCATTTAAAAAAAAATACACATTAGAAGTATTCGACGTAACGTAACTATAGTATATTTTAACCATGGATGACACACCGCACCCTTTACTTTAACCATTTCCACATCATTATAAAAAGGATGTCTCGTAATTTTTAGGCTTGCAACTCAAGACATACCCCCTACGGTTTTATGCAATTTCGATTGTTCATTTGTTTCAGAAATGGTCAAACAAATTAAAAGCTTATTCGTCAACTATGGGGACATCGTGAGATTCTGGCTGGGGCCCGATCTTAATATTGTCGTTGCCTGCCCTGATGAGCTCAAGGTAAATCTGCTTTTGTGACTCTCATACGTTTCAGATACACCTAATCCATCATCGGACAAATTATACTTGGCTTTGTTTTCGGCCAAACACAGGCAATCAAATCAATTGTATGGTAAAAAGTGAGTGGGTTCACCTGCTACATATATATTAGGAATATACAGTTACTAGGGTAACTAGGGATAATAATAATATTTTCTTGGCGTACATTTCTACAACTGCTTTCGTCCGATGATGCTCTTCCGAATTCATACATAATATGTGTAATTAAATCGGCCGATAACGGATTAGGCTTAGATAAATGATAGGTCTTCCTTCATTGGGTCGACCGCAAGCAGATCACTTACCTAAAAAATCGGATATTCCTAATCACCTAAGGGATTAGGAGTATCTGAGCTCATAGAATATAATTTAAATCTTTATATTTGAAAAGTCCGCTATTGAAGTGAAAATGTGTCGATAATTTGAACTTTACTACATAAAATAAAATATAAACTCTAACGAGTTTAGTATAACGAGTTTATATTTTATTTTATGCAGCTTACCTTTTTTTTAGTCGAAGCACTTGAATATAATAGTGATGATTTTTCAAAGGACTCATACCATAGTTATAATAAATGATAACCATAACTTTATCGACGAAGTACGTAAAGGGATGCTAGCAATGGAATGCGGGCATATTATTTTGACATTAATCAATTTAATTATTTATCATTATTTGATTTCAGATTCTCTTGTCTAACTCTAAAATGAGTGTTAAAGGGCCGCAGTATAAGTACATGGCCGATGTAATCGGTGGAGGAATTTTGAGTGGTTCAGGTAAATTAAGTTAACTAGAAATGAATATTGCTCTTGCTTAATTAAATACAGTCAAACAATTAGTCATTTACTAATCATCATTAGTCTATCAACGTCCCTAGTGCAAGGAAACAGGCTTCTATACGAATGGTATAGGGAGATGGGGCCATTAGCCACCATGCGAGCCCAATGCAGATTAGTGGGTTGCTATAGCTGACAACTGCATTAAGCAGCCAGAATCAACAACTGAAGGAGCGTTAGTTCATCTACAGTGCGTCCTACGGTCATGCCACACGGAGGCCAAGTATATTAAATATTGAAAACAGGAAATTTTACAGAAAGAAGGCACCATTTTATTTTTAATAATAAGTATGCATTTACAGATTTTTCGAATCGCCTGCCACAACCGGGAATCAAACTCGTGAAATGTGAAACAATAAAACATGTGTTTTATAAGAACCGTCGAAAGGGAGGGATATTTTGCTTTATAACAAGGCATTTTATATGAAAGAAAAATCATGAAATTTAACATTTTATTTAAGATAATTGAACACAAACTATAATAAAAACGAAACAATGCATACATTTTTTTTACTTTAATTTATAAAATGTTTAAATCTGATCCATTCTGTAGTATACAAATAATTCTCTCTGCCTGTCGATTAACTTAACTTTGCGTGGTGTTTTGTAATACACGTCTTGCACAGGCACACTATCGTGCCGGTTCTTGTTAACAAATTTTTTTACATAACAAAAAATAATCCTTATGATTAATCCTTTCGACGTTTATCATAAAATACGTCGTTTTTTTCACATTTCACGAATTTGATTCCCTGTTGTGGCAGGCGATTTTAAAAGAATTTGTGAATACAGTTCTACTTATTAGTAAAAATAAAATTATTTCTTCTTATTGTTAAATATCCTGTCTTCAATATTTAATATACTTTCCCTTCGTGTAGCGTGCCGTGGGACGCCCTGTGTAGTTAAATTTGACTATGACATTAACTATAGTCAAATATAACTATGTATGGAAACAACGCGACCTTAATGTGCCTTTCGAAGAACGGAAGTGCTCGAAATAATAAATTTTTAGTCACCCGTCCGATGACCGACCATTGCTAAAGTTTCTTAACTTCCAAAATCGCGTTCCAAACGTGCTAGCCATTCCAATGTGCCATCGAGCTCCTCAATAGCTAATATAAGGGTATTTTTCCACTATGTCTCTGTTCGATAAATTGACTTCCATTCTTTATAAACAACTCAGTGCCTTCAATGTTGCTCAAGTTAATGTGCAAAGCATTCCTGTGCATCACTTAGAACTTGTAGCGTCAATTCTCAGCTCGACGGTCGATGCTTTTCTTGTAACTGAATCCTTCCTTAAACCTTCTCTTCCTTTATCTTAGTTCGCACTTCCAGGATTTAACCTTAATCGCAATAACAGGACCGGCACTGGTGGTGGTGGAGTAGCGATCTAACTTCACACCGTGTTGTTAGCACTTCTCCATCTGCTTATTGTGCGTCAGCTAAGCATTTGTTTATAGAAGTACCGATTCGCTAAACAAAATTACTCTTCAGTGCCTTCTACTCTCCTTAACTTTATATCGAAAACTTTGTTAGTTTCGACAAACTCATTGATGCTTATAAACCAACTTACGAGCATATCATAATCATGGGTGATTTCAACACATGCTTCCTGAAATCCAATATACGTTCCTCTAAAATTCAATCTATTATTTCTTCTTATAATTTACATGTTCTTCCTACATCTTCCACTCACCAATTTCCTAATTGTGTGCCTTCACAACTTGACCTAATGATAATTTCTTCTCCAGAGAAAGTGGTAACTCACGGGCAAGTAACTGCAATTTTTTTCTATCATGATCTCGTCTTCCTTTCATATAGACTTGACTAAGAGCATCCAAACGTGAGCCCCAATATATAATGTGGCGAAACTACAAGGGCATTAATTTGAATTTTCTACAATGCGTTGTTGAAAATGTGTATTGGTCTTTAGTATTCGAGGCTTACTCCATTGACGAAAAGGTCAGTAAATTTAATTCACTGCTACTAAGCTTATATGTCCTACATGCACCTTTAAAATTAATTAAAATTAGACATGAACTGGGGCCTTGGATTAACGACGAAATTAGGGAACTTATGAAACTGAGGAAAAAAGCTAAGCGGAGAGTTAAATATCGCCCCTCTGATGACAACCTGGTTCGTGATAAAGCCCTTCGCAATCGCTGCAGTCGTATGTGTAGAAATGCTAAGAGACGGTTTTTTCATGATTATCTGACTAACCGCAATACAGCGGATACCTGGCATTTTACTCCGATCGGTCAGTGTGGACAAGCCTTGTTTTCCAAGAATTTTATTCTATAGTCCGTTGGAGACGACATTTTGACCTCGAGAATGTTTATTCCTTTTCTATCTACTCTTCTCCCTGTTTTAGCCCACATCCTAATCCTTGTCATTCAAATGATTTCCCAAAATTTAGAAAAATGCACACATAATTCCATTACCTAATATTTCTAATCCTTCATTACTTTGCCACTTTCGTCACATTTCCATCTTACCTATTCTTTCCAAAGTTCTCGAGCACATAATACACAAGCAAGTTTCTCAATTTCCTCTTTCCAATAGTTTCCTTAATCGTTATTAGTCTAAGTTTCGGCCAGCACACAGTACAGCCACTGCCTTAGTGAATGTCACTGATGATATTCGCTGGGCAATAGATAACAAAGCGCTAACTGTCCTAGTATTGTTAGACTGTAGCAATGCATTAAATTCCGTCAATTTAAAATTCTCCTTGCTACTTTTCAATACTCCTTAAATGTGTCTTCTTCTGATCTTTCTTGGTTCGATTCCTATCTTCGGGGTCGCTCGCAGTGTGTTAGCCTTGATGATATTATCTCTGATGGGTGTGACCTCAGTGTGGGTGTACCTTAGGGAGGTGTTCTCTCACCATTTCTATTCTCCAGCTCTTTCTATAAGAGTAATCTCCTCCAAGTTCCATCTCTACGCAAATGACTTGCAGCTTTATCGTCATTTCAATATTGACGTAGCAGACTACACGATAGCAGCTATTAATGAAGACCTAAACTATATCAGTACTTGGGCAAAATTTTATACTCTCTCGATTTATCCTAGTAAATTACAGGCAACCATCATATTACCGCCGTAGGTATATGTCTAATTATGTCCGTTTTTTTCATTTGCCGTAAGTTTCAATAGATGGAATTAATATTCCCTACAGTGAAACGATGAAAAATCTCGGTGTAACAATTGATTCCAATCTCTCATGGACAGCCCACGTCACTGATGTACATAAGTCGCAAAATGAATTTTTCACTTCACACGTTTAAGTGTTTACAATATTTTCTTCCTCTTCATTCTAAAATTGCCCTTGCACAATCTCTTATTCTACCCCTTCTCCACTATGCCGATGCTTGCTATTTAGACGCTACGGAAATTTTACTTAACAAACTTAAGTGCCTGCAGAATCTTGCCATCCGATTCATCTTTGGTCTTGTAAGAACGATCACGTCTCCAACTTTCAAAAGGAACTCAAGTGGCTATGGAGCCACTTGAGTTACACACACACGTATATGAATACGTCTGCGCAGAATTTTCTGAATACTTTGTCTCCTTTTCAACATCCTTTACCTTCCTATCTTCGAGAGCGGTTTTCTTTCACACACTCGCCTGATGTTCTTTGGCGGTCCCACCTAAAATCCCTTCTCAAATGTCCTACTCATCAAACTTTTTACTTATCACTCAAGTTAAGCGATATTACGGGAAGGAGGTTACACAGATTGGTGCTCCAGTAACTGGAGTTGCAGCACGACTAGTATTCCCTTAGATATTCTATTCATTATAATGATGAATATCGCATTACTAATATCTTGATTACTCAGCAAATAGTGTCATACAAATAGTTTTTCCTGTTCCAGCGCCCCACGCTTTTACAATCAAATATTATAATTAAAAGCACATAGTTTACACTTCAGCCCAGAAATAGAGACAACTTCAACGATTCATAATTTATTTTTGGTTTTTACATACATTTATAAAAGCGTCTTTTTCTATTTTTTTTAACTATTAATTTATTTTATGTTCCATCCTTTCGTGGGCCTGCTGGAAGAAATTTCAATATGAAATTAACAGTGCCCTTGTACATATTGCTTGTTTCTCTTTTTCTCAAACTTGTGTGTAAAAATAAATAAATATTGTCAGGCCCTGAGTGGAGAAAGCACCGTAAAATCGCGAACCCCAACTACGGCAAGCGCGCTATCGAGAGCTACACACATGTATTCAACCACGAAGTCAGCCTACTGATGGAGGAACTGAGGAAAAAGCCTCATGACCAGCAGTTCGATATATACAAGGACATCGTCAATACCACCAGCTACTCAGTATGCCGTAAGTATGAAAATATTTGAGAAATACCAATAATTTTGTTTGCTTTGAAATAAGTATGATAATAACCCACATTCGCAAGTGATCCAATATGATATAAAGTACATAGTATGTCTACTATAGGAAGTGATTCTACCTTTATTAAATAGCAAGTATGTATACCTGTTAACGTTTTTATTCGTTACTACAAGCACCATTTTATAACAGAAAAGCAATGACCAATGGATAATTTTTTCACCTTACGCCCATGTGAATGTAGTAAAATGACCAACCAAATATTAGGCCTTGTAGAGTTAGGGCGCGTAGAGTTAAAATCTTGCTACTGATATATATCGATGACTTTTTGACATTGGGAGTCATATGGTCTCGTCTTAGCAACATTTCACATGAACATTTTTTTGGTGTTTAACAAAATGTGTTAGTTATTGTGTTTTAAGAATCAAGAACATGTTGCAAAAACAAAATACAACCCGTTTGGCTGTTTCTGACACTAAAAAAAATAAAACAAAAGTGAGTAATGTCATACCTACATACCTACGTTCATTTTTAAAATCTCTTTCAGGTAGCCTCATGGGTTTAACTAAGGAACAAACTATGAATATAACTGGCATACAAGAAATTATTGAAGAAACTCCAAGGTAATACAAATCTCAGTCGTTAGATTCAGAAAAAATGTTGCGTTAACTCAACATCCGCTTTAACTACGCGCGTTTAAATAAGTCTAGGCTGCTAGGTACTTCATTTGAAACTTGCACTTATACAATAGAATATTCTAAAAAAACATCAATTCAATTTTAAGCTTTCTGCAATTTAGCTCTACTACAGGGTTCAACAAAACTAGAAATAGAACTTTTGAAACTTTTACTTTAAATTGATTAAAATAATCTATAATGCACGATAAATTATATATTTATATAATACCATCCATATTTTTCATACTTTTTTTTAAGAATTCCACAAGAAGCAACCTAATTTTTTTCTATAATTAAAAGTGTAGTAATGAACTTGAATCTGCGCCAAATCTAAATTCGTTCAGGGGTTTTATGCTATGACAAATATTCAATCGATTTCTAAATTAATAATATTTAAATAAAAAAATATAATAAACCATTCACCTCCTTAATTATTAACGAAGAATGAGCTTGGGATAATTAATCCTTGTTTTGTCTTTGTTCATGGAATAACAAAAACATTTGAGTGATTTTGATCGAAATTGCGTAACTAGTCTAAGCTTATTCCTCCTTTATAAATATACATACAGCCTTCTTTTTATACTGTCTCCAATTTGGGCCCGACTACTAGTGTTGCCGATCAATAGTCGATTATCGATGATTAATCGATAGTCTATCGATAGCCAACCAATCGTATGACAATCGATCGGCTTATCGATAGTATCGATTCTATCGATAGCACAGAAATAGCCAATACAAACGGATGAGTGAAATACTATGATACTATCGATAACATTGTAGTTCGTTAATAACAAACTATCGATAGTATCGATACTGTCGATTTTATTTGTAACCATTCTATCGATAGTTTAACAATTTGCAATAGTATTGTTTACAATTTTCAGGTATTATAGTCAATCACAAACTATAGTCTAAAACAATCGCTAGTATTGATACTATCGATAGTATTGTTGCAGATAAAATCAAAAGTATCTATAGTATCGATACTATCAATTGTTTGTAATTAACGAACTACAATAGTTTCGATACTATCGGTTGTATCGATTCTATCGATAGGGTACATAATTTTCGATGTAAACTGTCGATAGTTTTAATATCGATAGTTCGGCAACACTACCTACTACTGATATAAATGTTCTGTTATAATATCTATATGCTACAGTAACTAATGGCCTACTGGGAAACTGATATATGTATTTTCTAATATTTCTTCTCTTTCACAGTATCTACGAAATAGTTTTTGATAGAATGACGAAATGGTACCTTCAGATAGATCCGGTATTTTGGCTGACGAGTCAATATCAATTCCAAAGACGATTTAATAAACTCATAACTAACTTCAGCAAAGATATCTTGAAACACAGAAGGGAACACCTCAAAAATATCGGGGAGGACTTCAAATTGGAACATATGGAGATGAAAGAGGATGGCATGCTCAGTGTCATAGATAGATTTATATTGTCTGGTGAGCTCGATGAACCGACATTGGAAAAAGAGACATTTACTATATTCACATCTGTAAGTATCTGTTCCAACATTAGAAATAATACTTTAGCACAAATTCTTTGGAAAAACTTTGATAAAGTTGATAATTGTAATTTTACGGCCGCAATCAGACGAAGCAATAAAACTAATGGGTTTGGCAAAAGTTGATACTGTAATTTTCACAGCCTGCGACCAGGTACCGTAAGTATTAGTTGTGCCTCGATTTAATTTTACACCGCGCTTGCGTTTCCATCAAAATTAGTATAGGAAAATGTTTAACGCCGTCTAGTGGTACGTAAACAGAGTTATTTTCTTCATAGTAATTTCGCCTTAAACGCATACGCGATGGTAAAGTTTAATAGAGGCGCAACTCTCACTTGAGTTTCTGACAACATGTAGGCTAACAATAATTATAAAAAAAATAACTATAACGGGAAGCTTAGGATGTAAGAAACAATCACTTGTCTAATATTGCGGAAATGTCTTTTTCCAGAGTCAAGAAGCTTCAGCGAAGATCGCATCGTATTTACTTCTAATGATGGCGTACCATCCACATTGTCAGGTGGGTCAAAACAATAAATAATTATGTCTAACATACCTATTAGCTAAGTCCCAAAGTAAGCGCTGTAATGCTTGTGTGGCTTGTATTATGGGATACTAGGGCAACGGATAAAATACATGTATACCCACTATTACGTGTATAAGTATATATTCCAGAAATACATAGGTATAAACATCCATGGCTTAGGTACAAATGCTTGGTATTCATCGTACAAATATTTTCTCCTCCTGAATAAACGACACGTAAGGCGCGCGTCAAGTTAAACTTTTCTAATTACAAAAATCACGAAGAACCAACATTATTAAAAATCTTCGGCATATTGACTTATCAACAATACGTGCGATACTGTAATCGATTAAAAAAAACAACACTGCTTACATGTTTGAGACATGCTTGAAGCGCGGTGGTGCAAAGGTTTAAAGTTTGTAATATCGGATTTCATTTGAACACTTAAAATACCTTTAACAATAAAATATGACGAAGAATATATTTACTGCAGTTTCAGTTTTGCATGGTGATCGAAATTTTATCCAATCAAATTCTTCAGCTCTCATAAATTATTATTTATGAAATAGATTTTCTTTTCTAGGAGAAATTATACAATGAAATAAAGGGTGTTTTGGGTGATTCCGACCGTGACGTCACCGATGATGATTTGAAGAGGATGCCTTACTTGGAGATGGCGTTTAAGGAGATAGTGCGGCTGTTCCCGATCGGCGCTATGTTGCAGAGGACGGTGACAGAAGATATTGCTATACGTAAGTCAAGAGAAGAAGAAATAATAGAGTTTAGCGGACTTGTTGCAACAATGCTTTTAAAAATATTCCTAGCCTATTCCTTGTCGGAAACGGCGCAAGCGCACTATTCGGTGTTCCCAGCACCTTTTCTTTTCAAGAACAGGATTCAATAGGGAACATGCACGATTCTTCTATATATTTCTATTTAGTAGTTTACATCTCCTTTATACAGTTCGGCGACAGTTCTTTATACATCGAAAAGGGTAAATGTCAAAAAAAATACTATATGTCTAACTATTACAGTTATGTCACTACTAGAGGTTCCTTGTGGTTTCACCCGCGTTAATTTTAGGAAAAAGGTTATAGTGAATCAAACTTAAAAGATGAACATATGCTGTCGCGCAATTCCATCATACATGATATTTGTGTAACTTTAACCATTCACGCAATATTTTTATCGGCATTTTTTGCAACATTGTTCATGGATGCTCCGCTCCTTCTGGTCCTAGCGTGATTTGTTATAGCCTAAAACCTTCCTCCATAATGAACTATCCAAAGCAATTTTTTTTTTCAATTTGACTTGTATTTCAATGAATCATACAAACTTTCCAGCTTTATGATATTAGTTAGTATATCTAACTACTTCTTCGTGTAAAAATATGCAATAGTAACGCCGGTACAAACGAGGCACTTTATTGGATACCCGGGTATTATTTCGTATCCAAATAAATCACTTCTTATTGAAGACTCTATCAGGCAGGCAGGTACCTGACATAGAGTTAATTAAATTTATGAAATTACTCTTTGGATTAAACCATTCCCAAGTTTAATACCATTCGTTTCATATCATGAGAGCAATAATTATGAGCATTAAAGTGATGTATGAGTACAAACCACTGCGTCACTAGATACATTTAATAATAAGGACATCGATAGTAAGGGGGGCAAACTTTTTTTTAACAGCAAACAGTGGTGTATTCTGTACGACGGATCGTACAATCAATAAAATTTTCACTATCAGTTAAATAAAATTTCACGGAATATTTATAGTTATATGAAGCAAGTCATTGTGTTTAATACAAGCCGGAGAAAAAAAACTATAGCCTACACTACAGCTCTACAGCGAAGGGAAGGCGGGACACGAGTAATTCATAAGATGGTGGTTTACTAATACTTGGGTTTATTCATCAGTTAAAACATTCCCTATGAATGGGTTTATATTACAGAATTAGATATAGTCCTACTTAACTGCATACTAATTATAAATTATTGAACTATTAATCAGCACTTAAACCCACGTGTCCGATTCTAGTTTCTTATCACTGTAAATGACCCCGCAGAATCCTTATGGAAGCTGGCTCTCGGCCAAATTTTCTGTAACTTTGGAAGATGATAGCACATGACACGTGGAATAAAAGATCCCATGGGCCCAATGGCCAAAAGTTCATAAATGAGGAGCTACAACGTGCCAAAGTCGAAAATGTACGGCTGTATAATGTTTCTGTTGAACGAAACTTAGGGAAATTGGAGCGCCCGTCAAAACCTCCCAACTTACAGAAGAACATAGTAAAATATCTCGACCTCTTGGTGTTGTTGTGATTCTGTTGGTGAGTTAGGTTCCAGGGCTCCATGGGGTAGGAGATTGAGCCAGGGTAGGCAAAGGTGTGAGTGATATTTTTAGGTCGCAAGCGTCTAGTAGGCTACGGTGACCGCTTACCATCAGGCGGGCCAAAGAATGATTGTGTGCCACCCTTTTAACACAGAAAAAAAACTAACTAAGAGAAAAAACTAAAATAGATAATTTTAGTCACTGCTATCCCACCCCAGAAAATAAAATTTCTTTGTTTTATATACAAAATCGTTTCACTATTTACAGGATCAGGCTACCTCCCAGCCGGCAGCTCGATGACCATCTCCATATTCCACTTACACCGCGACCCGAGGTTCTGGGAAAACCCGGACGCTTTCGACCCCGAGAGGTTCAACCCGGAGAACACTGAGCGGCGGCATCACAATGCGTACATTCCATTCAGTTTGGGACCAATGGATTGTTTGGGTAATTATTTTTTGTTCATTTGGCAAACAGCAGGGTACCTTCAAGCCGGCAGCTCATTGACCATCTCCATATTCCACTTACACTGCGACCCGAGGTTCTGGGACAACCCGGACGCCTTGGATCCTGAGAGGTTCAACCAGGGCCGAATTTAAACAGTGTAGAGTTAAAAAAAAACAAATATAGACGAGTAACGAAACAGGGAGAGGGAGTGCAAATCGTAAGTGTTATAGCTATTAACGGGATTGTTACCATGTACCTTGTTTTTTATTAGTCTCCGATATTTCGGCACTGTTGCAAGCGCCATGGTCACGGAGTAACTGAAGTAATTGCGGGTAGATATTATTGGCAGACACATCGGTCTACCCTCTGACGTCGTCTTATACTGCGCTCGATACCCCTACCATTGGTCACATTCTCACTATTCACTTGCACCTGTTCCCGACACACAATACTCAAAGTATCAGACGACACTTTTATTGATTTTTTCGGTATTAGCCAATAACATCTACCCGCAATTACTTCAGTTACTCCGTTATCATGGCGCTTGCAACAGTGCCGAAATATCGGAAACTCATAAAAAACAAGGTACATGGTAAAAATCCTGTTAATAGCTATAATGTTGGTGACCATGAAAGTTTAAAACAATAAATCGTAAGTGGCTCGTTTCCTCAGGATCTCTACACTTCTAAATCCGGCCCTGTACTGAACGCGTACCTTCCTTTCAGTTTAGGACCTATGGATTGCTTGGGTAATTTATTATTGGTTTAAATGGCAAACGTCAGGATACTTTCCAGCTGATTAGAACCACTCAGTTTCTGTAGTGTAGTATACAAAGAACCGTTGCTACAATGTCTTGACTGGGGATCTCCTGAAACTCTTTATCTTCTAACGCTTCTCGATGTTTAATCGTTATATGCTGTTCGCAGTAAAGTGATTTCATTATACTTCTGTGATTTGCCCCTTCGAGATAACACTTAATTCACTTGTATGCTGCCTTCATTATGTGCTGCCATCATACACAATTTTAGAGCAACATTAACCTTTGCCTAAAAAATTTAATTAAAAAATATAAAATATGCATTCGCACTATGGTTATCTCGATATATTCATAAACGTTTTGGGTCGCGGCCATCGTGCACGTAATTTTGCGTTCGCGTTTAATTTATAGTGTTTCGTGTATTAAATTACTAAACTCCATGGGAAAATGCAAACTGCACGAAGGAGGAGTATCTTTCTTGTAAAATCAAGAAAAATGTTTAAAACTCGTCGAAAATATCGCCGCAGTTCGGGCTTGAGGACAGGACTATGAAAAAGCAGATAAGTTCTATCCTATGACATTACTATGATTTACAAGAGGATTCGCCAACAGAAGGTAATCAGTGTTATTAATATGTAATGGTAGAAATTAACACGTACAAAGGACATGTTATTTTTTTGTATAGAAATTGGGCAGTCTATAGAAAGGAAATTATATTTTATTGAAAGTACAAATACGTACATCTTCATTATTAAATTATATTTTTAAAAGCACCCGTTTATTTCACATATATACAACCAAAACGTTAAAAAATACTATTTTTTAATGGAAAGTTTGTTTTTTATTGTTACGAAACATTTTAAATAATAAAAAGCTGATTCTTTAACAGTTTAGAAATTATATTTAATATATATACATATATTACCTTTAATTGTGGTGAAAATATGAAATAAAATTTAAAAAGCAGGTGATTTTAAAAAAAATTTGGAGGTATATAAATTGGTACTTAATTCCATTAGCTGTGGTTGAATTTCGGTGTATTTTGGGGGTGGGTGTGGGGAGGGGAGGGGCGGCTCCCCCCGACTCCCCCCAAACATAATAAACCAGCATAATAAACATATTGTTACCATAGACAACGAGAAATATGTTTTTTTGCATGAAAAAATGGCAGAACTGATCAAAATGGCTGTCAAAATTGACATTAACACACAAAAATATAAATTTTCAATAATTTTTCTCGAGTTCTATTCGCTTCCGCTAAAAAAGATTTCGTGTAAGTATGTCTAATAATTAAAACATTGCGTGACAAAAAATCCGCTCGCTACTCAACAGCTAATGGAAAGCTGAGCCTCACTCTAATAAAGCTTTCCAATGCAATGGAGAAAGAATTTGTGAAAGTTGCTTCAGTATTTTTTATGTTTTTCGGTAAAAACAGACAAATATTTTATTTAGGTTATTGTGTTATTTATATTTTACTGAGACAGCCTAGAATAGATTTTATTTTTGATTGGAAGTGAACTACAATAAATTAAAAGTTAAAATTTGAAATGGGCTATTACTGAAACTGGTGCAGAGTTATGACATGGTGACGACCTGCGATATTAACGAAGTGAAAACCGCTACCAAAACACAAGTTTGTAGAAGCGTCGACTCTACTCCGGGAGCTTTAAACTGGAGGGGCTCACCATCTATGCTGGCGCTACCGGCACCTCAGCGCATGCAGCTGAAGCCCGACTGCGCCAATACCACGCGACCCACCAGCACCGCCAGTGGTACCAGTCCACTCCTCGCGCCGCTAGAACCAGCAGCCGTCACCAACACCAGATCCGTTTGTCTTCCTGGGTGTCCGGACTACATATTCGGACATCTGGGAGTTTTTGCCTTTGCTAACTAAAAGAACCAAACCCCAAAATAACTTTGTAAAAATTGATTATCCTTCTTTAATTCTTCGCCTAGATAATACAGACTTCGACCAGGTCTATAATGCTGTGAATGCAAATGAAGCGACAGTAGCTCTTCTCGATATTATATCAAACGTCATTTCTGCCTGCTCAAAGCTCATAAATATACCACATCGGCATTGACCCATAAAACCTTGGTTAACTCCTGGGCTTGTGTGTTGCATCAGGCACCAAGATAAGCTATTTAAACAATGTAAGTGCAGCCCAGCCAACGCTATACTAAAAGTAACTTATTCTAGGTAGCACAACTACTGCTACTAATAACCTTTTGAGAAAATTAAAGATTGAGCTTGAGAAGAATGAATTCAAAAAATATAAAAACAATCCAAAAGGTACGTGGAATACTATCAATAGAATTACAAACTTTAAACAACAAAATAAGCCTTCTTCAGATTTATTAAATCTAACACAAGATCCAAACGAATCTGTCAATGCTGTAAATAATTAGTTCTCTGACATAGGTAAAAATCTTGCTAACTCTATTCTGAACAATAGGGGCTTATCTGTTCGTGACACAGTATATTTGTATTGTGAGTCCCAATCACCTTGTGGCTCTTTTGCATTATTGGACGTGGATTATCAAGAAGTCGAATCTATAATTGTTAATCTAAAAAATGATAGTGCTGCTGGTATAGATAACATCCCAACTCTTGTCGTAAAATATGCAAAAAGCAGCTTGGTTGCACCTCTGACGTATGTTTTTAACAAATGCTTGGCTACGGGTACTTTTCCGGATGTGTTAAAAAAGGCTTTAGTACATCCTATACATAAAAGCGGCAGCAAACACAGTATCGGAAATTTCAGGCCCATCTCAGTCTTAATAGTGATGTCAAAAATATTAGAAAAAATTCTTAACACTAGACTTAATTCCTCGAAAAGAACAAACTCATTGCTGACAATCAGTATGGATTTATGAAAGGCAAATCTACCGAAGATGCAACATTGAAGCTAACAGAAACTATAGCTAAACATGTTGATCAAAAATTTAAAGTTATTGGCGTGTTTCTTGATCTCTCAAAGGCTTTCGACACAATTTCGATTCCATTGCTGCTGTGCAAAATGTATCTGATGGGCATAAGGGGGCAAGCACTCGACATCTTCAGTAGCTATCTGTCAAACCGTTATCAGTGTGTTAAGGTAGGTGAATACATCAGCTCTGAAGCAGAACTTTCGTACGGAGTTCCCCAGGGCAGTGTGTTAGGCCCAACACTTTTCCTCATATATATAAATAGCTTGTGCTTGTTATCACTTCATAACTGTAATATTATAACTTACGCAGACGACACAGCTCTAATTGTATGGGGTAGGGATTGGGAACAGGCTAGGCATTATGCTAAAGATGCATTCAGAACAGTTATGCGATGGTTGGAAGATAACTTGCTCACATTAAATGTAGACAAAACACAGTATATAACTTTTTCACCCCGTGCCGATACCCAACCTTCTACCATCTCCATAAAAGTGCACCTTTGCACTTCTCAGGGTGAATGTAGCTGTAGTGAAGTGTAGTTGAAGCGCACACAAAATATAAGATACCTTGGAATAACTCTTGATAGTAATCTTAACTGGAAATCTCATATTCAAAATCTGACTAGTCGTGTTAGAAAACTAATTCTATTTTCCGTAAGCTTCGATCTTGAGCAGACCGCGATATTTTGTTGTGTTTATTTTGCTGTAGTTCAATCATAACTTCAATGCTGTATTTTGTGGTGGGGTGGGGTTGGTATTAGTTCACTGCTTCCGTTAGAGAGAGCTCAAAGGGCCATTATAAAAGTGATGCTGGGAAAACCACGTAGATACAGTACCTCACTTCTCTACTGTGAATGTCCTGTTTTGTCAGTGAGACGACTGTTTATATTGAGTAGCGTCCTGCGCAGACATAAAAGTTTTCAATACATTCCAGTCAAACGCAATAAAAGAAGGGTTTGCCCAATTGGTGCCCCATAGAACTAGTTTTGCGAAACGACATTACTGCATTATTAGCTCTTATCTGTATAATCCAGTAAACAAAGCCTTAAACATATATCCGCTACCTCTCCACGAATGCAAGGTGAAACTTAAAGACTGGCTGTTGCTTCTGAACTTTGATGAGACTGAAGAAATTATGCGCTCCGTGTAAATTGTTTTTTAATGACCTGATTTTGATGTTGTAGGTGATTGTGACAACATTGAACTTTAATTTTCAATTTAATTTCGTTTTTATATATATATATATATATATATTTTATATTGTTACATTAATGCTTTCTTTGCTTGTATTTGTTTTCCCTGAAGATGAAAGACGCAGGCAGCTGTGCCACAGTTTTATACTACAGCAGCTGCCGACGTTAACCTTTTAATTGTGCATTGTGTGTATTATTGAATAAATAAATAATAAAAACAAACTACCTTCTAAATAAAATCGGTTTCTAAAGCAGATGAACTGAATACCTATGAGTTGGAGATCAGCATATAAGTGTCGGCACAATCATTATGGTGTTTGAACCCTGTGAGGGCCGATTCTTGTCAGTATTTTTCTCATTAAAAAATGTACCAGTAAAAGCAGACACATTTTAAACAGAAAGGCATGAAATAAATATATTATATATATACCTGATTATACCACACTAAGCTTGAGGATTGGAGAACTGCAAAAGAAAATCATGAAATACCTGTTCTTTAGTTTTAAAAGACGCTTTAGCGATTTGTTGATTAGCATACATAAGATCTACAGAAGGCTTTAAGTATTATTATTATATTACCTTTTTCGGATTAAATATTGCGCCGTATATTTTTTTAATAATTTATGCGTCTCTTACTGCGATATTTGCGTACTACCTGAGTAATATTCTTGGCGAATGTAAACAAGATTACAAATTCAAAAAAGTTTATATCGCAGCCGTTTATCTTTACGATTAACAGAAAAAAATGTGTGGATACGTAATACGACTAGCTAAACTACAACCATGTATAGTAAACATACATAGACTTATCAACCTCTTTAAATTACGAATCTTCGAACGTTAGCTATGTCATATTGATGAGTCTGACAACCAAATACGTTCGGGAGACTATCAGATATACTAGTTCAAATCAGACTGCCTATGGACAGCGGTCGAATCAAGAGATACATTTTGGTCTTAAAATATTATCAAAGCACATAAGGGACTGCGAAATACTCCTACGCATATATAATTTCACTGCCATTTCATACATAAACCGAATGGGGAAGCATTCAGTTTCCTCACGCAGCTTAAGCCGGAAAATATGACAGTGTGTGAAAAAAAAAGTCTCTGTTTCTTTGCATCTTATGTAAGCTCCATAGACAATATTAATATATGCTTGCAGAGTTAAGTAAAATACACGCCGACGTGGAGTGGCAGCTTGCTAATGACGCAAATCAGTGGTTTTGTAAAACATTGGCACAGCCTCAGATAGATTTATTTGCGGGACAATTAATTAGAAAAGGATGAAGAACACATACTATCCTGGTGGTCACAGCACTATCAGGATAGCGTTCATGAGACAAGGTTTTTCTCTGGATGTCGCGGATAAAGTTTTAAATATTAGTATCAATATCTAATAGCAGGTTATAAGAATACAATACTTGATTGAAACAATGGCACTTCTTTGTGGACATAATGACTATTTTTTGAATTATCAGTTAATATTACTTGATTTGATTCTTTGATTTCACCTTTCAATAAAAATAGAACAATTTAGCACAAATGACACAGCACCAAAGTGGAAATGTCATTATTAAAGTAAATTCAGAAAGTATGAACATTATTTTTGTCAAATGATTTATGCGAAGAAATTTATAAACATAGTACCCCGTCACCAATATATAGCGTTACGCCGGGTTCTACTAGTACTTGAGTCCCAAGTAGGGTGCACTATAATTTAATGAAGAAACTTGGACCCAAGTGATTGCATTTTATTATTGCTCATAGTATACTTATTTTATTTATAACCAAGTCAAATATTAATTTGATTACTAATGAAATTTCGAAATTAAATATCACTGATCAGATTAAATCTTTAACTATAAATCGAGCTCACCATTTACTGCCTATATTATAACGATAAAATTTCAATACGTCCAGCCAAAAACCTTGGAATATTATGGTCTAAGAGCTGGGTACTAAAAAGTGAACTGATAAGGTGTAGTAACGAATTATATATATAACCTCTCCTTGGTAGCTTTTAAGTACAGAGAGAGGCCCGTCAGAACTCTCTCCAGGGGCGGAAGGCGTGGGTGGGCGGTCAAAATCGTAAATATTCAATAAGAAAAAAATGATAAGGTGCAGTTCTGAAATTTGGTAGAGTTATAGTTTTTAACTGTAGGAATCTAGGAAAATTATTGTCAGAAGTCTAGGTCGGGGCTTAAAGACTGGCAGAAGTCGACAAAGTTGTAAAGAAATTGTTTAAATTTAAACCACAAGGTGTAGTTCTGACAAATGCATTTTTATATTATTTGTTGCTTATCGAACCTGTATATAAATTGTCAGAGGTCTTAATGGCCAGAAGTTGCTGAAGCGGCTATCGCGATGAAAAGGAACGTTTCAAAATTAAATAACAAGATGCAGTTTTGGCTATTTATTGTTTTTATTATTTACACTGTTATTTCAATAAATATGCAATGACAAAAGGTTAAGCGAGGGAGATAAAAAAAAAATATAAAAAACTGTGATGCCGAGTAATCGCTGACTTAGACGACAAACTTTAAAAAAAAATTCGTACTCAAAAAAAATGAAGTAAATAAATAATATGAAAAATGAAATAAAATCGATGTTTTGCCGAGAGCATTAAAAAAAATTTGAATTTTATTTTAGTTTTTTGAATGTCAACATTTATTTTGCGCTAAGTAGTTTCTCATAACATACCACTTTACGATGCTTTAAATATGACAGTAAAAACTATTTAGACCCAATTTTGTTCTTGCCTGATTTATTTATTTGTTTGGGCTTGGATGAGATTATATTATTCTCGCAAGCATAATTCTCCGAAACGATTTCAAAAGAGATAACAGCAGTGACTTATCATGCCAAATTCAAAGAGGACATAATATTGTTATTGTTGTCAAAAAAGCAAGATATAAATAAATAAATAATTATACTTCCTTATATAAATATACTAATCTTTTACTCCATCTAAGTTTGACTTCCTTAAAATGACAAAAAAATAAATATTAAAAAAACAAATGACCAAATGTGTATAAAATTATCTGACATAAAAAAATGTCGTTATGATTCAGTAACTTCTTATCATAGTGTACCTGTAAACTCTCGGCAAAACTTATCGATTTTATTTCATTTTTCATATTATTTATTTACTTCATTTTTTTTGAGCACGAACAATTTTTTTTAAAGTCTAAGTCAGCGATTACTCGGCATCACAGTTTTTATATTTTTTTATCGCCCTCGCTTAACCTTTTGTCATTGCATATTTATTGAAATAACAGTGTAAATAATAAAAACTATAAATAGCCAAAACTGCATCTTGTTATTTAATTTTGAAACGTTCCTTTACATCGCGATAGCCGCTTCAGCAACTTCTGGCCATATCATCAATTTTTCTGTACTTAGCCATTATTAAGCCTTCTGACAATATATGTGCAGGTTCGGTAAGCTATAAATAATAAAAAAAATCAATTGTCAGAACTGCACCTTGTTATTTTAACTCAAAACTAGATTCGAAACGTTGCTTTCCGTCGCGATAGCCGCTTCAGCAACTTCTGACTATATCATCAATTTTTATGTACTTAGCCATTATTAAGACTTCTGACAATTTATATACAGGTTCGATAAGCAACAAATAATATTAAAATGCATTTGTCAGAACTACACCTTGTGGTTTAAATTTAAACAATTTCTTTACAACTTTGTCGACTTCTGACAGTCTTTAAGCCCCGACCTAGACTTCTGACAATAATTTTCCTAGATTCCTACAGTTAAAAACTATAACTCTACCAAATTTCAGAACTGCACCTTATCATTTTTTTCTTATTGAAAATTTACGATTTTGACCGCCCACCCACGCCTTCTGCCCCTGGAGAGAGTTCTGACGGGCCTCGCTCTGTACTTATAAGCTACCAAGGAGAGGTTATATATATAATTCGTTACTACACCTTATCAGTTCACTTTTTCGTAGCCAGCTCTCCGGCTATTATTTAAATGTTTCAGCAGTGAAGAGGCAATAGGAATGTGTTTTTATTTTTATTATTAATATTATTATTTATTGTTTATTATTTAGTTCATAGACTTCGATCGCTGTATTTTTGCAACTTTACCAGGCAGCGGAATAGACACCATCACGTTCTTCCAGCACGATACATGCTGCTACTTTGGCTGCTAATAAGCCAGAAGTTAGTATAGAGCTTATGAAGGAAACTGCTGATTGGTAAAGTGCGAGATTGTACAATAGAGAAGTATCCAAAAATAATTCAGTTTTTTTGCTCGCTCTCTTTACAAACTTATTTCAATCATGTAATATTTATATAGATTTTTGAATTAGCTATCTAGAGCAAAATAATAGTTTTATTCTATAAATCAAGTGTTAATATATTAATTTACATTAATATCTAATAGTCAGCTATTTCGTGTAGCTTAAAACATCTTCAAGTGAATTAACTGTAATCTCGAAGGGCGAATCACAGAAGTATAATTGAAAGTCAAAGGAACTTACCTGTAAGTGACGTCCGACTGATATTATACGATGTGATTCGCCTGAGAGATTATACACCCTCCCTGCCTCTGATCAGCTATTCTATGAAGATATCCAGATCTTACCCATGGTCACACGTAATAGCAAGAACCAATAGACCGCTTTAGTCTAAACGTGTATAAATATATCGATATACCCACAGTGCAAATGCATATTTTATATTTTTTAGGCAAAGGTGAGGTTTAGGCAAAAATGTTGCTTTAAAATTGTTTACGGTGGCAGCACATAATGCGTGCTACTACAAGTGAATTAAGTGTTATCTCTCGGGCTCATCGTATAATCTCAGTCGAAGTCACTTAAATGTAAGTTCGTTTGACTTTCAATAAAATTTTAACTTACAGGCAGGTACTTCGGCATTAAACTAGTGAAGACGATATGCGCAAGGATATTGAGAGAGTTCGAGGTGACGTCACAGAGCTCGTACGAAGACCTGCGCGTGACCATATGCATCTCAGTGGTGACCCTCGGCGGATATCCCGTCATATTGAAGAAACGAAATAGTACTAAGTAGTTTATTTTTATTTAAGGCACAAATATACTATATTTGTGTGTGGAACAGCGTTCTCACTCTAACCGTACTAAATGTATGAAACCGATAGCTCTCTGACGTGCCACAACACAAGACGACAGAATTGTATGTGTAGTTCTGCCATTGCTTTATTTAAAACCACGATACTAGTTATACTTTTAAAATCATTAAAAAGGAAGGACTGATTAGATATTCAAGAATGTATCGTTTCTTTTTGTTTGTGAAAAGATGTGAAATTACCTGTTTTTTGATAACAGATAAAAGAACTATTTACTGAAAAATTACTATTTATTACAGTAAATTTGTATATTCGAGGAAACGCAAATGCGATGTAACCTAATTCTATGTTTTGTTAAGTATTGAAAAAAAAGTTCTGCGATTCGTTTTATGGGTAATGAAAATCGTTGAAAGTAATTACGATAAAATGATGGATTCCCAAAAATTGAAGTTCCAACTTTCAAGCCTTTTTTGAGTAACTTTAATTAATTACAGAAAGCTTAGTTATTTTTTTTATTAAAACAACATTCAAGACAATTATGTCACAAAAAAAGACTACCAAATACCTACTACAAACAAAAGATATGAATTTTTGAAACCTCGCTGGCAGAAATCATTAAGAATACACAAAAAAAAATATACCTCGAAAACTAAGAAAAGTCGCGGAACATACATAGGGTATTTTTGGATACACCCAGGCGAGAGGAATCTAAAAAAAATGTTGACGTCACTAATTGGATCACTCTGTATAGATATAAACTTTTTCGATCTCTCTGGTCTACTACTGGTACTTCCATCAATCAGGTTGCTACCAGCCTAGTAGGTATTGCAAATGGTGCAATCATAGCAATTATTTTCCAAATATATTTTTTCAATCTATAAACGAAATAAGAATAAGTATGTATAAATTAGCAAATAACGAATCACTATTTACCAAAAATTCTAAGTATTTTTTACAAATATAATCAAATAAACATTTTACTTAGTTTGTTTTTTAATCTTTTTCATCAATTAAATATTATTATCCTAACTATCTTCTTATAATAATATTATAATGAGGCAAGAGTTGTATTTTTGTAACAAATAATCTCTCAAACTACTAAATCGATTTCGAAAATTCATTTACCATAAGGTATTATTTTTTATTTTATTTTCAAGCATTAATTTCAATATCGTTAATTAATCTGCTCGATATTATAAATCTAAAGAAAATATAAACTTGAAAAAAATCCGCTTTAACAATTTCTCCGAGAGGAAATTTTTCTAGTATTTTTTTTCTTTATAACTACATTACATTTCATCTCCTACACCTTTACTGGTTGACTGGTAGAGAATGCCTATGGCATTAAGTCCGCCATTTACTGTTTTTATGGTAATAAAGAATAAATAAATAAATTATATGATGTAGGTGACATAGGCTATGTTTTGTTAGTATATTTGTTACTTTTTCGCGCCCTAATAAATAAGACTCCGCCGGCGAGCGATTACACAACAGTAAACAATGGGTAGTACGTTCATTAGCTATAATTGTAAAAATATTAAAAGGAGCGCGGAGTGCGTGAGAAAGCTATGTAAGTCAGCCGATATTATAGCTCTTCAAGAGACGTGGCTATATCAGCATGATCTATCGATGCTTGGCCAGATTGATACAGACTTTAGTTATACGGCCAAATCCTCCACGGACCCATCGGTGGGCATGCTGCGGGGAAGGCCCTATGGCGGTGTGGCCCTGTTGTGGCGGAAGAACGTTTTTCAGAGCGTCTCTGTAGTGAAGTGTACTAGTGATCGCGTAGTGTGTATTAAAGCGAACATAGGTGCTAACCGTGAAATATTAATATTTAGCGTCTATATGCCTACGGACAAATCGGTTAATCTCCCTGAATTTACTGAATGTTTGGGCGAATTAAATGCAGTAATACGTGACTGTGATATAGATGTCGTTTACATGTTGGGGGACTTTAATGCTCACCTGACGGCTGATTTTGGTAACGAACTTGTGAACTTCTGTGACGAAAATGAGTGGATTATCGCAAATATACTCAAGTTGGGCATTTCCTTAAATACATATAATTTTGTAGATGAGTCAAATAAGTGTAGGGGAAGGTGGTTGGACCACTGCTTGGTTACTAAGGCCGCAGGGTCGTCAGTGGTGAGTATTAAAGTTCACAATGATATTTATTGGTCTGATCATTTCCCTCTTGAACTGAACTGTTACTTGAATATAATTAAACCTAAATTAGTGTCTAATAACAATGTAAATAGTCGTATTGTATGGGGATTAAGGGACACGGAAGAAATAAATAAATATTATAAAGTTTGTAATGATAGACTAAGAGACATTAATTTCCCTGGCGAATTTCATCAATGTGCCGATTCGATGTGTAATATAGAGCATAGATTTGTTATTGATCGGTTTTATCATTCTATTGTTAACATTTTATGTCAGACATAGATGGAAAGTCGCAATAACTCGGCAAAAAGTAAGAATTGTTTATGGATGGAATAAGCATGTTAAGGATGCGCATAGGCGGGCTAGGCTTGATTTTCAAATATACTTGTATTACGGCAAGCCGAGCGAGGGACCCATATATGAAAAAATGAGAGAAAGCCGCAGGATATTCAAGTCTCGTCTAAAATTCTGCCAGAATAACCAAGAGCAGATTAAAATGGATATCCTTGCTTCACAACATTCGGCTAAAAAGTTCAATAAATTTTGGAAGGGTACCTAAAAAACCTTAATGGTAGGGTTAGCCTGCCTGTGAGCATAGATGGTGTGAGTGAGCCTACATCCATAGCAAATATTTATAAGGATAGTTTTCGTGTGAAGTCCGGCCTGCCATCATTGCCCATTGCTGAGCCCTCCAAGGTAGAGCAGCCGGTTAGTTTCTCTGCTAAAGATGTTCTCAGTATCATCAAAAACATGAAGAGGGGTAAGTCTCCAGGCCATGACGGGCTCAGCATTGAGCACCTTCAGCATGCAGGGCCCCACCTTAGCAGGGTACTGGCTATGTTGTTTACCTTTTGCTTGCGACATTCGTACTTACCGTCAGATCTCATGAAAATTGTAGTAGTGCCGATAGTTAAGAACCCCACGGCCGATACCGCTGATAAGACTAATTATCGACCAATCTCCTTAGCCACGGTAATCGCGAAGGTGTTTGATGGGTTATTAAATCAAAAGCTTGAGAGCGTATTATTATTGCATGACACGCAATTCGGTTTTCGGCGGGGGCTCTCTACTGAAAGTGCTATATTGGCTTTAAAGCACACTGTGCATTATTATGTTAAGCGGAAAACCCCTGTATACACGTGTTTCTTGGATTTGTCCAAAACCTTTGATTTAGTATCTTATGAAAAGCTTTGGACAAAGCTAAGAGACGCAGGAGTGTCTTCAGACGTAGTAGCCCTATTTTCATATTGGTATAGTCACCAAAGCAATGCAGTTAGATGGGGTAACGTATATTCTGATGAATACCTTCTTGAATGTGGTGTTAGGCAGGGGGGTCTCACTTCACCAAGACTTTTTAATATTTATGTCAATAAGCTCGTCGAGGAGCTTAGTAGCACGCATGTTGGTTGTCACGTAGATAACGTTTACGTCAATAACCTAAGTTACGCGGATGACATGGTGCTGCTGAGCCCCTCGATAGGGGTATGGGAGTCATGCGCATACAGAACGTGCCCGCACGGCGCAGCGGCGCACTGCATACTGGCGCGGAGCGCGCGGCCTGAGATATTTATATGTCGCCAATCAACCGTCGCAATATTTTTATCACCGCCGAGCGCATCCACGGCTTCTACCAACGGCACAAGCACCAACACTGGCGAAGGACGCGTAGCGCGCACATATTTACGACGATGTTGGAGCGAGACGGAAATTGTGTCGATGTGCTGTCCTTGTCTAACCATACCATGATCATATAAATAGGGGAGCCTAAGCTCGAATAAAATTAATCTAACACAAAAGCTCTTTCATTTACCATCTCTCTCCGAAACCTCCACAATTGGTGACCCCGATATAAGAAAAAAATCTAGTTCGTGGAGCCTGATACAATGTCGTCGGACGAAAAAGCATCGGACATTAATCTCGACGTCAGCGCCGTATCTATCCAGTCGCGGCTCTTACCCTTCTGGAGAGAGATACCCCGGGCCTGGTTCATCCAATTTGAAGCCGTGATCGATCCACTGAAGACCTCCGATGACCAGAAATTCCGTTACCTACTACAGCAGCTACAGGCCGTCGATCTCCAGCACCTAACGGACATACTTTACAACCCACCTACGACGGGAAAATATGAGAAAGTAAAGCAACGATTACTCGAGGCCTACGACAAATCGGACGTGCGGAACTTCCAGAAGCTAATCAGCGGCTTGGAACTGGGAGACCAAAAGCCCTCCCAGCTTTTGAGAAAAATGAGAGAACTCGCAAGCGGAATGATCACTGAAGAGGGGCTGAAAATAGAGTGGCTGAACCACCTACCCGCACAAGTCCGCGTCGTCCTCTCCGTAAATAACGAATCGTCGCTAGACACGTTAGCCGCGATGGCGGACAAGATGTCAGAGTACGCAGGAAGCCCCACTATCGCCGCCGTCACGTCACCAGCACCGACCTCATCACCTGCAGCTTCAACCTCCATGACACCACTGGAAGCTCTAGCCAAACAAGTGGAAAAGCTCACGCTAGAGATTGCCGAGCTACGTCGAGGAAGGCCAACCCACGAGAGACACCGGCATCGTCGCCGCCCATATAACCGTCGTTTTGGATCGCAATCCCGTTCCCGCTCGCAATCAACGCAACGTGTGCCTGGACCGAAACCCGGAGATGACAACTGGGAATGCCGCTACCACTTCCGTTTCGGAGACAAGGCAAAACGCTGCGAGTCCCCATGTTGCAGAAGAAAGAAGCCGTCGGGAAACTAGAACCGACACCGACCGTGGCGGACGTCGGTGTCCCGTACACCAGTAATCGCCTTTGTGTACACGACCGTGACACTCACGAACGTTTCCTCGTGGACACAGGCGCAGACATCTCCGTTTTGGCCGCCAATCACAAGAGAAACAACAACAAATCTGAAAGCGCCTACACTTTATACGCGGCAAATAATACACCGATCAAGACGTACGGGCAGAAAACCATCAGGCTAAACTTTGGACTAAGAAGAGACTTTACTTGGGCATTCGTCGTCGCAGATGTGAAAACCTCTATACTGGGAGCCGATTTTCTTCGTCACTTCAAATTATTAGTGGACCTGGACAAGAAGAAGTTAGTTGACAAAACTACCGAACTATCAATCGACGCATTAGAAGTTTCTACAAACACCGAATCAGTCCACATTATAAGCAACAATCAAGCATACTATGACATTTTGAAACAATACCCGGATGTCCTACGCCCTATGTCTTTGAAACAGCCTGCGAAACATGAAGTTGTCCATCATATCGAAACTACCGGCCCCCCACTCTACGCCCGTCCCCGACCGCTACCCCCGGACAAGTATAAGGCAGCCAAAAAAGAGTTCGATCGCATGTTAGAAATGGGCATTTGCAAACCATCGAAAAGCCCATGGGCCAGCCCACTTCATGTAGTAAAGAAAAAAGACGGGAGACTACGCGTGTGTGGCGACTACAGACGACTAAACGCGGTCACTCAACCTGACCGGTATCCTGTACCTCGCATACAAGACTTCACATACCAACTGCATAACAAAAAAATATTCTCAAAATTGGATTTAAAAATGGCGTACTACTGGATACCAATTGCCAAGGAAGACGCACAGAAAACTGCAATTACAACACCCTTTGGAATGTTTGAATTCAACTGTATGACATTTGGTCTACGAAACGCCAGCCAAACCTTTCAAAGATTCATGCACGAGGTACTGAGAGGCATAGATGGCTGCTTCTGCTTCGTTGACGATATCCTTTTATTCGAAGAAAACGAAGAAAAAAATAAGAAACTCCTTCATCAAGTTTTACAGCGGTTGGACAAGCACGGAGTGACGCTAAACATAGAAAAATGCGAATTTGGAAAAGAAACAATAGATTACCTCGGCTACGAAGTATCAGCGGCCGGTGTAAAACCTACATCGGAACGAGTGAAAGCCATATCTACTTATCCCAAGCCGAAAACAATCGTCGAGTTACGTCGTTTCCTGGGGATGCTCAACTTTTACCGAGACTGCCTGCCACACCAAGCCGACTTCCAACATGAATTAAACAAATATTTACATAACCGAAAGAAAAACGACAAGACGCCTATAGAGTGGACACCGCAAGCAGATGAAGCTTTTGAAAAATGCCGTCAAAGCATCTCAGAAGCCACCACACTCTCGTTTCCAGTCCACGGCAGTCCTTTGGCCATCATGACCGATGCCTCAGACCATAGTCTCGGCGCTGTACTTCAACAAAAAGTAAACAATGTCTGGAAACCACTGGCATTCTTCTCCAAGTCGATGAGCGACACACAACGTCGCTACAGCGTGTACGACCGCGAACTATTAGCGATATACACGGCTGTAAAACAATTTAGAAGACTCATAGAAGGCTGTGATGTTACTATATACACCGACCACAAACCGCTTGTCTACGCTCTCAACAAGAAAGAAAGCAAGAACGACACCCCGCGCCGCGAGCGTCAACTTCACTTCATCAGCCAATTCTGTTCATCTATCAAATATTTATGTGGAGAAGATAACGCAGTCGCCGATGCCCTATCACGAATTGAAGAGATACATTGCCCAACTGTCATAGACTACAATCAATTGGCAATTGACCAGAATAACGATGAAGAACTGAAACAATTGAAGAAACAATCAAATTTGAATTTCGCCGAGATAACTTTACCACAACTTAGCCGACCAATCACCTGTGAGATGTCGACAGCCACGCCCCGCCCATATTTACCTGCGGCATATCGCTATGCGGCATTCAAAGCGCAACACGATATTTGCCACCCGGGAATCAAAACAACACGCAAGCAGATGACAACAAAATTTTTCTGGCCGTCAATGAACCAACAAGTGACATCATGGACGCGAGCCTGCATAAGCTGCCAGCGAGCGAAAGTACATCGGCACGTAAACACGCCGTTAGTACAGTTCCCGCCGTCACAAAGATTCGAACACATACATATAGATATTGTCGGCCCGCTGCGCTTATCTAATGACTATCGGTACTGTGTCACTATAATTGACCGATGCACGAAATGGCCCGAGGCAATCCCAGTCCGTGACGTCACAGCCGAAGTCGTCGCACAAGTATTATATGAATCATGGATAGTGAGATTCCGCTGCCCGCTACGCATCACAACAGACCAGGGAAGACAATTCGAGTCCTATTTGTTCAACGCACTAATGAAGAAAATGGGTATCAACAGATTGCGTACCACCGCGTACCACCCACAGTCGAATGGACAAGTTGAACGATGGCACCGAACGATGAAAGCTGCGCTTATGGCTCGCGGGGCAACAACGACTTGGACACAGGAACTTCCAACTGTATTACTGGGATTACGAACAGCGCTGCGTCAAGACAACAACCTCAGCCCAGCGCTAATGACATATGGCACCACACTCCGCATACCATCAGATTTCTTTGAACCACGAAGCTCAAAGATCGACGACGCCGAGCTTGTACGCCATCTCACTCGCACGATGACGTCACTGACGCCGACAGCGCACCGCTCACTATCAGCTGACAAGCTCTTTGTTTACAAAGACTTAGCGACGTGCACACATGTCTTCGTTCGGAATGACACCGTCAGAGCGCCACTCACACCACCGTACGATGGCCCCTATGAAGTACTGAAGCGCTACGACAAGTACTACAAAATCCAGCTACCACGACGAACCACAGTTGTGTCACTGGATCGACTGAAACCGGCCTACATCGTGAAAGAAGCGGAAACATGTTCATCGAACACCCAGACTTCGGCGCCGCCAGCTCACTCCCATACATCAGAAACTCGCCATGACTCGACCACTGCTAATCAACCTTATATCACGAGGAGCGGAAGAATAGTTAAGAAAATCGTACGCTTTTCTTAAGGGGGGAGTGATATGGGAGTCATGCGCATACAGAACGTGCCCGCACGGCGCAGCGGCGCACTGCATACTGGCGCGGAGCGCGCGGCCTGAGATATTTATATGTCGCCAATCAACCGTCGCAATATTTTTATCACCGCCGAGCGCATCCACGGCTTCTACCAACGGCACAAGCACCAACACTGGCGAAGGACGCGTAGCGCGCACATATTTACGACGATGTTGGAGCGAGACGGAAATTGTGTCGATGTGCTGTCCTTGTCTAACCATACCATGATCATATAAATAGGGGAGCCTAAGCTCGAATAAAATTAATCTAACACAAAAGCTCTTTCATTTACCATCTCTCTCCGAAGCCTCCACAGGGGGATTAAGAAAATTATTGCACATATGTGAGTCTTATGCTGTGAAACATGGCTTAAAATATACTGAGAAAAAGAGTGAATTCATGTTGTTTAAAGCCGACAAGAAAGGTCCGACTATTATACCTCCGATCACTCTAAATGGTACACCGTTGAGCCATGTTTCCCAGTTTAAATACCTAGGCCACATAGTCACTGAAAATTTATGTGATAATGCAGATATTGAGAGGGAGCGCAGGGCATTGTCGGTGCGTGGTAACATGTTGGCACGTAGGTTCGCTCGCTGTTCAGCAGAAGTCAAAATTACGCTGTTCAAGGCATACTGCCAGACATTGTATACGGGCAGCCTGTGGGCCAGCTTTACACGCGCGGCCTATAATGCTCTGCGTATCTCATACAATAATGTATTTATGGCTCTGTTCAAGCTTCCTCGCTACTGCAGTGCCTCGGGCATGTTTGCCGATGCAGGAGTCGACGACTTCTATGCGGTTATTCGCAAAAAAATTGGCTCATTAGTAAGAAGAGTGAGAGAGAGCACGAACAGCGTCCTGAGGATGGTAGGGGACCGGCTGGACTCCGTGCTGCTGGGCCGGTTTACTGAGCTGCACGTGCTGCGTTCACGTGTGTGGTGAATCCGCCCAGCTGTATGGGGCTCCACGCTAATATTTGTTAAATTTTATTTTATTGTATTGTCTTATTGTTACTAACATAGCATTTAAGTCGATTATACTAACATACCTATGGACTCTGTCTGAAAATAAACGATTTTTATTTTATATTATTTATTTATTTAATAGCTAAATCGATTATGACGAATTTCCCTATAGAAAAAGATGGGACCTTTTCTAAGTTACATTATGGAAATACTTAGGGGTAGGGTGATGAAAGGGGTGATTTAACTATAAAACTGTATATTGTTTGCTTCGAATTTCAGAATTATCGTTTATATTTACAAAACCAACATTATCGCGAGCTGATTAATAAAGACAGGGGAGTCCATTAAGTATACATGTTTCTACTAGCGAATAATAGGTTATTTCTCATTATGTTAAGTCACCCTTTTAGAAACATAAGGTAATATCATTGAAATAAACTTTGAAAACAGTATAATTCTGTTTTTTTCATAAAATTTTAATAATGTTACATACCTATTAAAATAATTTATTTTTCATCATTTAATAAAAAGGAATTTGATCATAGTTTTATTGTAAGTACTTCGAGTAGGGTTGGATACTGCAGGGGTGCTACGTCGGAAACCTCCTCGTGTGCCCGGTCCATTTCCTGTCCCTGGTCAGTTATGATAGGGGAACGGAAATGGTTCCTAGACGGGGCATCCCGGGCGCCTGTCTCCCACTGAGGGTGCTGTTACGGAGGTGTCTAATAGCCGACAATCTCGTAACTCCGTACGTGGTGAGGGGCCGAGGGCCGCTAGTCTCTTCGGAGGGTGGGGGCCGCGAGGAAGAAAACCTCTATAAAAAATCACCCTGAGGGTATCGGCTGGCGTCCTGGGCATCCCGGGTAGCGGCAGCCGATCAGTGGCCTACTTGTCGGCGGTGGATGGCGGACAGTGTTCCGCGGGGACTCCGGTCCCACGTGGCGATGTCACACCCGGGCGTGACTGCTCGGTTGGCGGGGCTTGCCTTAATTGGCATGGTTTGCGAACCTCCAAGGTCCGCGTGCGCAGCGGCCCCGTGGCCACGAGAGTGGTCACTGGGGATGGGTTTCGGCCTACCGTCGGGCGAGCTGGAGACCTGTGTGTGTATGTCGTTGTCACGTCTAGCGGCACCACACAGGACCAGTGGGGACTGCCTTTGTTGGCCGTCCCTGAGAGGAGCATACCTCGTAAAAAAACCCCAAAGCGTCGGGTTCACCCGTTAACTGGCACTAATGGAAAGCGTGGTGCCAGGCGCCTTAAGGTGGGCTGGGCAAGTCCACCAACTAGTGCTTCCACCCCGGGGCACTGCCCGCCGCCCCGGGAGTATTAGGGTTACCCAGGTACAGGGGGCACTGCCTGGGTGGACCATTTATTTCCCCCACACTCGTGGGAACAATAATGCAGTTGTTTCTTAGGTTTTCACGCACATCACTCATTAAATAAAACTAGTTTTTACGGTTTGCATCGTCAGAATAATGTTATTCTGACGATGCAGACCTGAAAAGGCTGCGAAACGTCAATAAATAAATAAAGTTTCGTGCATTAACCCGTAAAAACTAGTTTTATTTAATAATGCAGTTGAACAATATTAAAAATCAAAAATGTAAAGACGTGGAAGGTGGAAGCAGGGAGAGAAAGAGAGAGGGCCTGGAGAGGCCAGAAAGGGAGAAGGAGGGAAAGGGTGTTGAGGACGCGAGGCGTCAGGAGTTTCCTCCAGAACCTGGAGAGGAAAGGCTGACGAGGAGCAAGGCTGGTACCTCGAAAAAGAATGGGTCTCTGATCCTGGTTTTCGAGAAGGAAGCGGGCGGATCTGTGGCAGATCTCAATATGGACTCGGGAGCAGAGTCAGCGGCCGAATCATTGGCCGGCTCGGTCACAAATTAAGTAAGGTCCTCAAGGAGCTAACAGCCCTGCGGAGGGACTTTTCTAAGGCAGGAGAGGGGCGCCGCAAAGGACCGACGGCGCCGATAGTTTTGGATACCCCTACGGGGGGTACGGGCGGCGGATGCTGGGGCGAGGTAGAGCCTGCGAACATGCTGCAGGAGATGCAGCGCTCGCTCGCCCAGAAAATGTCCAATATGCTCCAGGCCAGGTTAGAGGGCCTGGGGTGGACGGTCGATTGCTGCCTGCGGCAGAGTGGCCACGCCGGCGCGCCTGCCAACGATGCCGTAGGCGCGCCAGACGAGCGCCCGGGGAAGAGGAGGTCCTCCGCCTGGCGTACAACGAGGCCCACACGGCCCTGCGTATTGCCATCTGCAGCGCCTGCCAACGATGCCGTAGGCGCGCCAGACGAGCGCCCGGGGAAGAGGAGGTCCTCCGCCTGGCGTACAACGAGGCCCACACGGCCCTGCGTATTGCCATCTGCAGGGCCAAGGTCGCTGCCTGGGATGAATTTCTGGCCTCCCTGGACAGCGACCCCTGGGGGAGGCCGTACCGGACGGTGAGGGGGAAGTTCGCTTCGGCGCTCGGCGGAGGAGGCCTCACGCTGCCAAGTATGGTAAGAGCCATGCTTGGTAGCGAGAGAGCCTGGAGGGCTGCCGCCTCCTTCTGCGAATCTGTGATGGCGCAGAAGGAGGCAGCAGAGAGGGAGCGAGAGGAGGACGCTCTAGCCGCCCCACTCCGGCGTAGACGGGTGGGCCGAAGAAGGCAGGCAGCAGTGACTGCCGGTCTTCGACGGCCCTAAGGTGGTCTGGGCGCGGCCTGACTAGCCGCGCGTAGGAGGGTACTGGGGGGTTTTAGTGGAGTAGGATCAGTGTGGCCTTCCGCACTGGTCCTGCTTGAGTAGGGTCGGCACTGTTTCCCGTGCCGGCGAGTCCCACACACGCCGTGCGCCTTGTCAGCGTCACGGTATGCTGCATAACTGCATTTCCCCTCATAACAAAAAAAAAATAGTTTGATACTGCAAGTAGCTCATTTTTTTCATTTCCTCCTAGGTTTTATCTACGTTTATAAACACCAAAATTCAGCATATTTCTTTTCTCTATCAAAAATCGGGAAACCTAAGAGATGGAGTGGTTTATTATCAAGAATTTTGATATTAGGAGCTAAAGCCGAAAATTTTGTGACAATATGTTGTTATTGTTCAGATGAAAATTTTGATTCTGGTATAAATAGCTCACATTTTGAAAAATTTTAAATCAAGGCCAATACTTTTGAATTTATCGATAATGACGTGAAAATCTGAGAGTGTAGTTGAAATATCGCCAGCGATAGTTCCGTCGTCAAGGTACCATACATTAAATTTAGAATTTAGCGTATCAATAATGGGTTTTACAGCCAAACTAAAAATATCGGGTCCGAGAGGATCGCCTTGCCGGCAGCCAACTGATGAATACTAAAAATTAATTAAGTAGGTTTGCTGTAACATTGCCAAATACAGTTATAAATAGAAGGATTTTTTGTTGAATTACTGAAAGCAAGCCACCTCTATCTACGGAGTTGAAGGCGTTCTTGACATCCACGTTCAGCACCACCTCCGCTGCGTCGAGCGACAGGAAGGTGCGAAGAACGTGCACAGCTGCTTTACAACCTCCCTTGACACCAAAACCAAGCTGAACTCGTTGGAATTCAGCTGAAACTGGCGGTAAAATGTCGAGCCTTTACCGCCGTTTTAGCGCAACCGACAAAAACCAAATTTTACAGGAGAAGGTTTTTATTAAATATTTTTACAAAGAAGTGTGTTAGTAATTTTTATTTTTACATACAATAATATTTTTTAGACATTTACATATATAATTGAAGAAGAAACAAAAATAATAAGTATTTATGCTATTTATGGCGCTTACATTATTTTTGCTGTCATAATCTAAGGCTATTTTGGCGTTTACGATAAAAATGTCTATTAAAATTACTATGTTCTAAAAACTATATTCGATTTTAATTAATACTAATAGGTATTTTATAAGGTTCTTAAATGAAATTGCCATATTATAATTGAAAAATATTTTTTCATATTAAACATTTGGAATAATGAGATCTAGAAAATAAAATAAAAGTAAAAGATTTTTAATTCTCCTTATCCGAATCATCTTCGTCCGTTTCATCTAACGCATCACGTATGGTTCCATCATGCCTCATACTTAAATATTCTTGATGGTATCTGTTTGGTACGATATTTTTGTTGCAAAGCTCCTGCAGATCTTTGTATTTAGCTGCTGAAATTTTAAACTCTTCGGCGTATAAAGGTGTGGGTCCTTTTTTTTTATACATAGGTCCGACAAATAACTCCACCCCACCTGATGTTAAGTGAAGGTGAAGTCCAGACGTGACGATAGCTGATACAGCAGTTCTACCTGCCACACCAGCCATCTTCACCCTGCCGGCCTGCATGTTGCTTCTTCACGCCTCTTTTAAAGGATCCCAGATTGTAAGAGGGAGGGAACACGTGAGCGGGCAGAGCATTCCATTTACGGATAGTGCGACAAAGAAATGAGTCACCAAATTTCTTTGAACGCGTTGGAATTGTGGCCACAGTAAGACGATGACAACGTAGGCCAGCGCGCGTGGTCCTCTGAAGGAAAGGAGAAGGTGGGATAAGAGAGAATAACTCCTCACAACACACGCCGTGGTACAGACGATAGAACGCGCTTAGTGACGCCACGTCACGGCGTAATTGAAGAGGCTCAAGGTGTTTAGTCACCTCCTCATCGCCTTATGATGCGGATCGCGCGTCGCTGTAACCTATCATAACCAAAGCATCGAGCAAGTACTTAGCGGGGCCATCCCAGAGGTGCGAGCAATATTCCACGCAAGACCGCACTTGCGTTTTGTACAACAAGCACAGTTGATCGGGCGTGAAAAAACGCCGCACCTTGTTCTGCCCCTCTAGCATGACCACCGAAACGGGATATGTTAAAGCGATATATCGGCATTAACTGTCAGACTACTATGGAGTTTGACAGTAGTCTGACAGTTAATGTCGATATATCGCTTTAGCATATCCCGTTTCGGTGGTCATGCTAGTGGGGCAGGACTCCGAGTTTGCGTGAAGCTGTTTTGATCACGGTTTCGATGTAGTCCTTTGGATTCAGGTCTGAGCGAACCTCCATACCGAGCATGGAAATGTTGCTCTGTAGCGGTAGTGTTGTGCCCTGAAGAGAGGGAAGGGG